CCCCGCCGCGGGCTCGCGGCTCTCCAGGAGGGGAGCAGGACGGCCCGCAGCCCCGCGGCGCGCCGCGACCGGTGGGGATGGAGCAGCCGCCCCCGCCCATCCATCCCGCCGTACCTTGGTATTTCGCGTCGATCTCCCGCATCAGAGAGACGTTTCTCTGCAGATCGAAAGGCAGAGACTCGATGGAGTCCAGGTAGTCCTCCACATAGTTCACCAGGTGGATCTGCTCCCCGTTGGCAGGGCTCAACATGGTTCACCGAGGTCCCCGGCGACTCCGCGCGGCTTTCCGCTTCCTCCGGCCCCCGCCCCCTCGGAGCCCAGCGCTGCAAAATGCAAGGCTCCCGCCCGCCGTTGCCCCCCCTCCGGCCGGCCCCGCGCCGCTACATCTGCGAGCCGCGCTGCCTGGGCCCGGGGACCGGCGCCTGGCGGGCCGGACCGGCGCTCGGCGGCCTCAGGCGCGGGGCGGGCGCAGGCGGGCGTGCGGGCGCGCACCCCGGCGCAGGGGCCGGGGCCGGGGCCGAGCGAGCGCGGGAAGGGGCGCGCGCCGCCCGCCGCGCCGCACTTGTCCAACGTGGAAAACCCAAATACCAGTTTCAAACACTTGGGAAACATTCGGCCCCCAGCACCGCGCATGCGCCCCGGCCCCTCCCCCCCCCCCCCCCCCCCCCCGTGGGCCCCGCCCCCACCGCATTCATGCGCCTCACCAGCCCCGCCGCCCGGGGGTGTGGGTTTGTCTGTCACTTCTACCCGGGCGGGGGTCGCGGGGGCAAGGGGCAGCGGGCGAGGCGCAAACTTTACTAGGAGTTTCGCACTTGCAGGCGGAGCGCGTCGGGCGGCACTGCACGCCCACAGGGGGACGCGGGGCAGCAGGTAGCCCCGCCCAAGACCTGGCCGGAACCGACCCGGCAGTGGCACCATCGCAAGCCCAGGTTGCCACCTCCCTCCCCACGCTCAGCCCCTCACTCTCCGAAGCCCGCCTTGCAGCGGGAAATAAGTACGGCTCGGAACAGACTGGCAACCTCGACAGCCAATCGAGTTGCCGCTCTCCCTCAGTAGTCCAATCAGGACGAAGAGAAGGCGGGGCGAGCATGGATACCTCCTCCCGGGCTCTTACTACTAGAAACCCGCGTCCTCCAGGGGGCGGAGGGACAGGGCTGGCCGAGCAGGCCGGAAGCGATGGCGCATGCGCAATGGTGCGGCCCAGGCAACAGCCTGCCCGCGCGGGAGACCTACCATTCGGCAGTCGGACCACCACTCCCAGCAGCCTCGGCGGCTCCGGCGCTTGCCCGGTCCTCACCGCCCTCCCTTTGTGTTGTCGGCCGGAGCCCACTGTTGAGCGGCTTGGAGACAAAGGGGCTCGAGAGGGGAGCCGTTCCCCACGCCGGGCCCCCGCAGAGGGCGCACCACCCCGACTCCTTCCCGCCTGTGTTCTGGAATCCGTTCTTTAAGTCCGCGCCCCCATTTCGAAAGACCACCCAAAGCGGGGCGGGGCAGGCTTCCACTTGCCGGGGTCCTGGGGGGGGGTCTCTCCCTGTTCTGGCTCGGCCCCTCCCCTCCCCCCATGGCTCCTCTCCCCGCCCTAAACTCCTCGATTAGGACTTTCGGAAGAGCCCCGTTGCCTAGACGACGGGCCCGCGCTCAGACCCGCCCCTTCCGGCAGAGGCCCCGCCCACGGGCGTGGCCACGGCTCTGGCTTTTGTCCTCTGGGCCCAGGCCTGCGCCACCGCTGGTGTTCCCGGCTTGGCGCGCTCGGCTGTTTCGGCTGTGCTCAGCTGTTTGGCCGTCTCCTCTTCCGAGGGGCGGGTGTCCTGTCGCGGTCTCTAACCCTGTCAGGTAGCTCGGCCGCAGCCTCCGGACGTCCCTACCAGCTCCGCGCCTGGGCGGCGCCGCGCCCTTCGGCTCGTGGATGGGGCGTTTCGGCCTCGCTCCCGGGTGCCCTGCTGCCCCGCGGACGCTCCATTTGGTCGGGGAGCGATGCTCTGAGGTTCTGCACGTTTTGGTTGGAGCTCCGAGTCTCCGGAGAAGCAGTGTTGTGACAACCACGACCGCCGGGAAGTTTTAAGTTACTCTTTGTAACCCAGTAGCATTGCAGACCAATCCAGTGTTTATAAAATAGGTAATTATCTGCAGCGGTGCTCATTCCAGCGATCTGCGGGGCGCAGACGAGACTAAATGGAGCTGTTTGTCTTTCGAAATGAGTTGTTCACATTGAATCGTTGATGCGGTGATAAACGACGAATAATACTTACACTTTGAAGTAAACGGGTTTGATCTTTACTCTCATCCCCCTAAACCCACCCTCACATCAGGAGAACGTTCACTTCGATATTCAGGAAAATGGTTATTTTACTTAGCGATTCGCATTTTTCCAGTTTTGGCCCAGTTTAAAGCAAATGATGAGTTAAGTTTCATTTACTGGCCACTAGCCTGCACAAAAGACTTTAATACTATGACGTTATGTGGAAACGGAGACATTATATGGGATAGAGAGTAAACGTTGAATAAGAAGAAAACATAATTTTAAAGTACAGTTGCAAGAAAGAGATAGGTTCTTTTAATCCTTGCCTTCATCGGCTCTAAAATGAGTAGTGTTTATCTTGATTTAAGAATAAAGGTGAGAAACAATTTACCCCTTCCAGTGATAAGCAAGCCGGAGTTTTCTTGTTTGTTTTTTAATCACGATGTCATCCCAATAATGATTCTTCATGTTTTCATGGACTTCACAGACACGTTAAACAAAAAAACGTATTCATGCAACAAGAAATATTTAATAAGCACCTAGCATGTGCTAGCTGCTGTTCTATGCAGTAGGGATGCAGTGGTGAAAAATGTCTATAAGACATTCAATTTATCCCTTGGGCTAAAAAGTCCGAAAACATTTGATTAGCTTTACAAAGTTCTTAAAGTGTATGCCAATGACTTTACCGTTTTCTGGATAAGGTTAGAAGACCAATAGCTAAGGCATGACTGTGACCACGCATTTTAGATATGCCACTAAAGAAAAGTGTTTAATTTTGAGGATAGATTGAAGAATTTTGGTTGTTTCAATTTTGTTCTTTGGAGTGCGTTTCAAAAATAGTTATTAAATTCTCTTTTCTAAGGTTATATTTCTAGTTTAACTGGAGATGCTGAAACCTATGGGAGTAAAAGAGATGAACATACAATTCTTTATGTTTTGAGGTGCTTAAAATATAAATCCTAACACATTCATCTCAAACTTGAATTGCCCTAAACAATATGTGCTATCTTATCTACTCTACTTTCGATTTACAAATTTTTCTTTGAAAGAAAATGTAATGCTGAGAACTACATTTTTTTTTGCTGTTGTCATGAAGGACTAAGAAATGGCATTCGTGATATTTTGGAATCATTAATTTTAATATACTTTGCTCTGACCTAGACTGGGAGGGGTCACCTCAACGCTCACGCACTCTTTTGGTGTATGTGCTAATATATCTTCCCAGTCACTTTAATATTGAACCTGCAAGAGGAGTCATGCTTTTAAGCATCATTAAATAATGGGTATGTTTATCACTGTTTGAAGATTCCCAGAAGACTTAAGGTAGCATTGCTGCCTGCCAAGGGCTGAGCACCTTACGGGACCAATTTCCAGAGGACAAGATACCACTGTTAGCTTAAAAATCATGATGTCCTATGGCCAATTAAAACATGCCAGCTATCCAGATTCATGTGCGGGGTTTGGTGTTGTCTTACTAAATCTGTTTTCAAAACTTCTAGCTTTTTCCTTGAATTCCACATATTCTCACAGATTGCAGTCAAGCCTTTTGTTCATTTTCTTATTTTACTGGCATATCTAATATCTGGATCAGAGCTTTCTCTATCAGATGTTTTACTGCTCGGATGTTCTCCCACCTGCACAACAGGTGGATTTCATCAGAGATTGATTCTGCAATCCTTTTCTGAATTTGTTGGTGGGTACAGTGAGAGTGTTCAAAAGAACTTGCAATCTAAAGTACTCAGGGATTGGGTAATGCACCAGCAGAACTGTGAGTATTTGGGGAGTGTGTGCTTAGCACTGATGTGGAGGTCTCCTAATTCTGAACGACAGATTCTAACATTTTAGCGTCATGCATGCCTTAGAACACAATTCACGTTAGACTACCGTTTAGCTGCAGAGCTGGACTCCAGGGATCTTGGGGAAAAGTTTAAGTGCTCTAGGAAGATAATTGTTTGTCTCTAGTTAAGCACTTGCCTTTCTACAGAACGACCAAAACAAGCCCAAGAAAGAACTGGGGAACTTATGTGCTGTTTTGAGGACTGCAAAAGCAAAGGGGATTTTTTTTCTTTTTTCCTTTCCTTTCTTTTTCTCTTTCTCTTTCCTTCTTTTTCTTTCTTCCTTCCTTTCTCTCTCTTTCATTCTTTCATCCTTTCGTTCTTTCTTTTTTTGACACGGTTTTGGAAGATATCAATGGGACACATTTGTCGAGATAATTTGAAAGTAACTTAAAGAGAATCCACCTTTAAAAAGTCCCGTTGAAACCGCAATTCAGAATGTTTTTGTTCTCAAGAGACGAGATGACATAACTTTTAATCTTAAAATGAATCTCAGGCAGACATTTCCTACTACGCGTACTTGATGAATGGGTGGTGTCCTAGCGTCGCTCTTTCATGCGGAGACAGAGTGTGTGCGCTGGGGTGCAGACGTGCTTCGCCAGCAGGCGAGGAGCCGGCAGCTGGTGCCCGCCCCGTGAATCGGGCCCGACCGCGCGTGGGCCCGTCCCCAGGCCCGGGTTGCACCGGCTCTGCTCAGTCCCGCGCTGAGAAGGGCGGAACGCCTCGGCCCGCGCGCGGCCCGGAGCGGTGACACCACCCTAGCCTGCCGCTCCCCTCCCCCACCCTGAGGCACTGCCCCTCCCCCTGCGCCGCAGCGGGCTCCGGACAGCCCGAGGGAGGCGGGGCGGCCTCTTTCCGACCGCCTCTTCCGGGGTAGGCGGGGCGTGACCGGGCCCCTTCCGTGTGGGCGGGGCCTGGTGGCCCCTCCCGGAGTGGGGGAGGCTGGCGAGTATCTGCGCGCGGCTAGCGGGGCGGCCATGCTGCGGACGCGCGGGGTCCCCGTGGGCTCCTCGCTACTCCGGGCCGCGCTGGGCCTGGGGCCGGGGCCGCGGCCGGGGCGGGCGGCGTCGCGGGAGCGCGGGCAGGGCTGGCTGCAGCCTGCGGGCTACGACACGGGCGTCACGGTGTACAACAGCCTCACCAGGAGGAAAGACCCCTTGATCGTGAGCGGCGCGGACACCGCCTCCTGGTAGCCCCCGGGGATTGGGGGTGGGGTGGGGTGCTGCGGGAGGTAGGGCGGGAAGGGCTGTGGACCCAGCGTATTCGGAGGTGGGGCCTCTGCATGGAAAGCGGGATTGGGTTCTCAGGTGGAAGCATTTAATAAGTGATAAAAGCATGTTTAAAGTCATAGTGATTCACAGGTTCGGCTGTGCATTTAGCGATTCAAGTGTAATACAGCCCCGGCTATGCATTCCCCCAAAGTGGTTACTTTTCAAAAAAGGCATGATTATATGATGATCATAAATGAGAGTGGGGTGCCTTTTCTTGCAAATATGTTTCACATGGTGGATTTTAACTCTGTTCCTAGGTATAGCTGTGGACCAACTGTCTACGATCATGCACACCTGGGTCATGCTTGGTGAGTGTCCTGAGGTTGAATTTTCACACTTTTAGGGACCATTTATTTTGGAAAGAAAAAGCCTTTGCATGTTTTTGCCATCCCTCAAGTGGCAACTTGAGAATGCGGAATAATTACTGTATTGCAGGTATCGTGGGAAGCATACATGTCACAGTCTCGCTTGGTCCCATTTCACAGGTGAGGAAGGTCAGGGAGGCAGTGAGGAGCAGTGAAGAAGGACCTGTTTTGGAATCAGATGCTTCTTGTTGGGTAGTGAGATGAAGCCTTTCCAAGGGCCCTTGAATCAGCTGGTCAGGAGTTATTTCTGGCCCCCATCGCTTATTTACTTCCCGGCTTTGGACAGGCCGCTTTATTACTTTGTTTTTTAAAAAATATTTATTTATTATTCATTTATTTATTTTGGCTGCGCCGGGTCTTAGTTGCGGCGCATGAGATCCTTTTTAGTTGCAACATGCGGACTTCTTCGTTGCGGCATGCATGTGGGATCTAGTTCCCGGACCAGGTATCGAAGCCGGGCCCCCTGCATTGGGAGTGCGGAGTCTTACCCACTGGATCACCAGGGAAGTCCCCCACTTTATTACTTTGAGTCCTGGTTTCTTCATCTTTGAGATGGGGATAATAGTATCCATCTGTTTGAATCTTCACAGTTTTATGAAATAACTCCCGTAAAGTGCTGCTTACCCCCGTCCCTGAGGTGGAAAGTGTGGTGCAGGCTCCCCAGTTCTTGAGGATAGGTAACACGTTAGTCCTTGAGGGAGGTCACACGTTAGGAAGTGTGAGAGCAGGGGTGGACCCTGGGGCTCTGACCTCCATGTGCCCCTTGTCTCCACCTGGTAATGGGCTGCCTTCTACGTTTCTTGAAGTTGCTGCTTTTCCTAATGTTTTCTCTTGTGCATCTTTTAAACTTGTTATTGTTCAGATCTAGATGAAAAGTCACCTTTATTCAGTACGTTTTTCAAAACTTTATATATCACCCAGCAAGATCTGAACATTTTGTGTGTGTTATTACAAAGTAAATAGTCTAGGAGTCATTTTTTCCTTCACTTTGGGCTAACTTAACTGTTAATTATAAAAAGCATATTTTGATCTCTTTACTGAAGTATTAAATATGTTGGGGGAAATACTGAAAACAGTAGAGGTTATTGTATCTCCCACCCTGGAAAACCTCTCCACAAAGGCAAAAGAGAAAAACAATTTTACTATCGAATAAGAATTAAACCAGAATGGGACGCACAGGCAGCTCGCTGAAAGGATTGCAGAGACAGAAGGGACTTGCAGTCTTGTGTGAGCTGAGTGGGCCCAGCTCTCTGGTTCAGGCAGGTCTGTAGTGTGGATTCGGGCACAGGTTAGGCCCCTCCCATTGGGTGGTGAACATTCTTGGTAACTTCATTTCAAAGTGAAGGCTCCCAGGTCCTTGAAACTTTCCTGAGTTATGAGACTGACAGAGGCTTGTTTAGCCATTAGAAGCACTTAGGTACATTTTAAAAGGGCTGAGGAAGAAATCCTGAAAGAAAAGGGGAGTAGGGCAGAGCCTCTCCCTTATTTCCAACTAGCAGAATCAGGCCTTTCATTTGTAATTTGTATCTGTCCTTACAAATACGGAAAAGAGTACAGATCTTCAGTGTACGGCCAAGACCATGTTCATGGCTCTTAGATTGAGAAACAGAACGTCATCAACATCCCAGAAGCCTCCTGTCCGACTCCCTCGCCCAGGCCCCCCCTGAGGATACCACTCTGGGCATCTCAGCGGCACGTCGTCAGGGAGAGTCCTCAATTTGGGGTGTCCCTGCGAGGTAGAACCCTAAGTGCTACAAGATTTCTCAAGAGGTTGTAATCTTGGGGGCAGGGATGGTCAGGGACGGTCAGGCACCATCAGGCACGGTCCACTGCTCTTAAATAAAGTTTAAAATCCCAAAGCCCAGGACCGTGTCCTTCCGCGGGTCTGTCCCTACTCACTCTCCAGGTTCCTGTCTCCACACTCTCCTCCCGGCTCGCCCTGCCAGCCTTTGTGTTAAAGAGACAGACACTTGGGTTTCCCTGGTGGCGCAGTGGTTGAGAGTCCGCCTGCCGATGCAGGGGACACGGGTTCGTGCCCCGGTCCGGGAGGATCCCACATGCTGCGGAGCGGCTGGGCCCGTGAGCCATGGCCGCTGAGCCTGTGTGTCTGGAGTCTGTGCACCGCAACGGGAGAGGCCACGACAGTGAGAGGCCCGCGTACAGCAAAAAAAAAAGAGATACTTAACAGACACAGCTCTTGCTATGTGCCATTCTAAACGCTGTGCAAACCCCAGCCAGTGATATCCTCTGACCACACCAGGTGGTGGTGCTCTCAACCCCAGAGTGTAAATGGGGACAGGCCCCCTGCCTCGGAAGTGCTGAGCTGAGGGGGAGGCGGGTGTCTGCCGAGTCCAGGTTCCCCGCTAGGTGTGCGGCCTCAGCCAGGGGAGCTGGTCCTGCACCTGGGCTTTCAGGGTACCCACGGTGCTTGTGGAGGCCCTGGGGAGCAACCCCATGCAGGTGTCAGGGACCTGCAGCCCCCAAGGTCCTCTGGGCTGCGCATGTGATTTGACTCTTTTTTCACTCTGTTTTAGGTTCCTGTTAGCTTTTTCTCTTAAATCTCATTTCTTGTAGAGTTTTCCTGACTCGACAAAGAGGGGTACACTGATGATAATTATAGTAAGAATTAGTTGGAATTCCTGCTGCACAGGCACCAAGAATATGTACAGCAGCCCTATGATATAGTGGAATTTTGCCCAGTTCATAAATAAGCAGTCTGAGGCTTCAAAAGGATATTTAACCTTTTAGCTCCTTGAGAAGCAGCTTCGGAGATGCTTGTCCCTGAAATTTGGCCTCAGCTCTCTTGGGGGTGGGTGGGTGTTGGGAGTTCAAGGGATACAATAATGAGGCTCATTTTCGCGGGAAAATGATTTTATGAGCTCAAATTTAGGCCGTGTGGATAACAGAGATGAGCATGAGATTAGCTGACCCTGAGTTTTAAGGTTGTTTTTATGGGAAACTAGTTTCTTGAGATTTTAAATGGATCTTAGATGTTAAACCCTTTTGCTTTCACAAGTCTAAATTACCCTTGTGCAGCCTGTCCATAAGCTGGTGTTTCTATATTCCACAGTTGTGTGCACGTTTCTTAGGAATGATCTTATCCAGCTTTGATGGGATTGTCCCTGTCCTGATTTGTCATTATTTGCTTCTATCTCTTGTCACGGTGAAACATTAGTTATTCTAGAACACGAACAAGGATGGTAAAAGCACTCAGTATCTTGACCACCTCCTGAACTTGCACCACAAGTGAATTTTTTATACAGCTGAATAGATGTAAACTCAACGTCTGTAAAGTTAAAAATGCTAATGTGGTGTCCTGAAATTGAGGCAGCACCTTTGTCAGTTTCTCATGCAGACCCACATGGGCCAGTCAGTAAAAGGCTTTTCCTTTTCTCAGCTGTCCTTGGAACTGTCCTTGATATCACACACTCCCAGTCAATGCGCGGCATCACGTTAAATGTACGGCATGCTTTTGAAGGTCACAGTGTCGACTTTCGGTTTTAAAGATGCCCTAACATTTTTTTCTTTCAGCTCATATGTTAGATTTGATATAATTCGAAGGATCCTGACCCGGGTTTTTGGGTGCAACATCATCATGGTGATGGGAATTACAGACGTGGATGATAAAATAATCAAAAGAGCCAATGAGGTAAGTGTGGATTCTGTTGATTAGTGCTTTGACTGGTTAGTCTTCTAACCCCCCATTTGACACTTCACAAGACTCTTCAGGCCTTACTGTCCACACGTGGCCCTGCGAGGATACTCTGACAGGTTATCTTCCTGAATGTCTCGTTCCTTGGAGGCTTCCCAGCCTGAATGCAGGCCCTTCCCTGCCCCCTCAGCCTCCAGGGTAAATACCTCACTCCCTGTTTACAGAGGAAAGTCAAAAGGCCATTTTGGGGCTAGGGAAATTTAGCTCATAGGAGGTTTAATTTTCTCATTTGTTAAGTGAACAGGGTGCTTCTCTTATATCTCATTCAGCATTTAGAGGAAGTCTTGGGGGTAAACTCTAACACAGGGATTAAATAAAATAATTATATTTTTTATTTTTAAAAATTTTATTTAGTTTTTTGGCCATGCCACGTGGCTTCTGGGATCTTAGTTCCCCGACCAGGGATTGAGCCTGGGCCCTCGGCGGTGAGAACACAGAGTCCTAACCACTGGACCGCCAGGGAAGTCCCTGTAGTTCTATTTTTATTTATTATTTATTTATTTATTTATTTTGGCTGCACTGGGTCTCAGTTGCAGCATGCAGACTCTTAGTTGCGGCATGCATGCGGGATCTAATTCCCTGACCGGGGATTGAACCTGGGCCCCCGGCATTGGGAGCACGGAGTCCTAACCATGGGACTGCCAGGGAATTCCCTATAGTTTTATATATGTGTATGTATATATATATATATATATATATTTTTTTTTTTAAATAAATTTATTTATTATTTTATTTATTCTTGGCTGTGTTGGGTCTTCGTTGCTGCACGCAGGCTCTCTTTAGTTGCAGCGAGTGGGGGGCTATTCTTTGTTGCGGTGCGTGGGTTTCCCATCGCGGTGGCTTCTCTTGTTGCGGAGTACGGGCTCTAGACGTGCGGGCTCAGTAGTTGTGGCGCACGGGCTTAGTTGCTCCATGGCATGTGGGATCTTCCTGGACCAGGGCTTGAACCCGTGTCCCCTGCATTGGCAGGCGGATTCTTAACCACTGTGCCACCAGGGAAACCCCCCTATAGTTATATTTTTAAAAGTCTACTTTCAAAGGTTCACCTCTTCTGCTTTTTATGATTAGCAACTCTCTATAACAATTATGTATAAGTATATCTATAACAGTTATCTCTAACGATCTATAAAAAATTGTTAAATTATCTAATTTACAGAAAACCTACATGGAGTGCCTTACATCCTGTAATTTAAAAAATGTATGGATATATATTTATATAGTGTTTTTTTAGAAAACGAGTTTATACTTTATATTGTTCGTAACCTGCTTTTTCCACTTATTGCATTTTGAGTGTTTTTTCACGTTAAGTATTCTTAAACATTTTTAAATAGTCTTACAACCTTCCGTCACACAGACATTGTACTTACTACCATCCTTATTTTTGGACTCTTGCATTCCTCCCATATTCTGTTATTTTCTCTCAGATTTATTTCCTAGAAACCCCATCTTCCTATTTCCTACCGATTTGCCTTTTTAATAACTAGACAGCATTCCGCCATTAGGGGCTACTCAGAGATTCCTCTGGACCTCCCCATCCTTGGCTGTTTTTATTGTTTCTAGGTGTTAAAAATAGTGCTGCAGTGAATTTCTTTTTCTCCCCCTCTGTTTTGTTTGCTTAAATATTTTTCCCAAGGTGGAATTACTAGGTCAAATGATGAGCAGTTTATCTGATACGATTTGTCACCCTTCTTGGAGTTGGACCATTTCAGAGAGAGGTTACCAGCAGCGCCGAAAATGGGTTCCAACTTTAGACGTATTTCCTCACGTCCTCAGCACAGCAGCGTTTCCCATTTTTACTTAGTCTGGATAGTTCAGTGTGTCGTGTTCCCTTATAGTGGACTCGACTTCCGTTTCCAGGACTGTCCCTGAACTTCATTGACCATCCGGGTCCAGGCTTAGGCCTGGGACAGAGGCTTTGTGTGGACAGAGGTGAGACAGACAGTTCCTGGCCTCCGGACCTTGTGTCCGGCGAGGCAGACGGGCCCTCAGACGGATGCTCTGTGTGTGACTTAGTTTATTTTGTAAGCCCAGATTGGGGGTGGGGTGCAAAGAGGATCACTGCGCCTTTCCGGAATTCAGAAATGACTTATCGGAGGAGGTTCGCCCACGCGGGATGTTAAGCGTTAGGAAGGGACTGGCACGTGAAGAGCGAGACATTCTGGGTTGGGGGGGAGAGCGTGTCCTGCGTGGAAGCCAATCCTGCAGGATCCCTGGTACGTGGGGCGGGCGGTGCCAGCTGGCGAAGCTGGAGAGGGAGGGCCGTCCCGGCCTGGACGATGCCCTGGGAGTTGGACTTTGTTCCGTAGACCGTGGGACCTGCCAGCACGGGACCAGCTCGGTGCAGTGGGAACGGCCCGCTCTGGGGCAGGGGGATGCGACCAGGGACAAGGGCCTCGGGAGGGCTGGGTGGGCGCCCTGCACTGGGGGAGGGTGCGCGCTTCGTGAGTGGAGAGAGAGGGAGTTTGAGATATTGGAGGAAACCCAAACCAGTCTGAAGCTCAGCTCAGGGCTGTGTTGAAATAAAAATACGCATGCGGCCTTTGTCGTGGTTCCTGGTCCACAGCTGGAGTGATAGTGTCTTCTGTGAGCTAATGGGATGACCAGTGGCTGGGGCCTCTAGATGGTGTTGGGATGGGGGCTGGTGCCAGAAAGACCAGCCATGAGTTGAGCTGGAACTTTCACTCCCACCTGCATCCCTCCACCCCTGCCTACCTCCTGGGGGCAGAGCGGGGGAGAGGGGCTGGAGGTTGAGCTGATCACCGATAGCCAGGGATTTAATCAACCTTCCCAAGGATGGAGCCTCCATAAAACCCCCGACGATGGGCTCTGGAGCTTCCCGGTTGCTGGACATGGAGGTGCTGGGAGGTGGTGCCCGCCTGGCCCCCCGAGGGCATGTACGCCCCCCCTCCGCAACCTCGTCCCGCGTGTCTTGTCCACGGGGCTGCTGCTGAGTTGTGTCCTTTATATAAACTGATAATGGGAAGTGGAGTGCTCTCCTGAGTTCTGTGACTCGTTTCATCAAACCCCCAAATTTCTAGTTGGTGGAGAAAAGTGCTGTTGACCTGGGGACCCCACTGCTGCAGGTGTCCGAAGTGGGGCAGTCCTGTGGGACTGAGCCCTTAACTTGCGGGGTCTATGCTGACCCCAGGAGCTGGTGTCAGAGTAGGATTGACGGGGCTTCCCTGGTGGCACAGTGGTTAAGAATCTGCCTGCCAATGCAGGGGACACGGGTTCGAGCCCTGGTCCGGGAAGATCCCACATGCCGCGGAGCAACTAAGCCCGTGCGCCACAACTACTGAGTCTGCGCTCTAGAGCCCGCGAGCCACAACTACTGAAGCCCGCATGCCTAGGGCCTGTGCTCTGCATCAAGAGAAGCCACCGTGATGAGAAGCCCGCGCACCGCAACGAAGAGTAGCCTCCGCTCGCTGCAACTAGAGAAAGCCTGTGTGCAGCAAAAAAGACCCAGTGCAGCCAAAAATCAATAACAATAAAATAAATAAATTAAATTTATTTTAAAAAACAAACAAAACGAATAGGATTGACTTCCAGCTGGAGTCAGAGGGTCGGAGAAGTGGTTGGCATTGGAAAAGACACACCACGTTTGGTACCAGAAAGGAGCCGCTGCAGGGCTGGAGGTGAAGATCAGGCGGTGCCAGTGCTGGTGGTTCATCATCCCATCCCTGCTTCTCTCTGACGGTTTAGTTCGAGCCCTGGCCTGATTCCGTCTGCCTGGCCTCCAGATCCCCCGCCTGTGTCCGGTGTCCCTGCGGTCAGGTGTCCACCCTGGTCCACCACCGGAGCCTAGAGGCGAGGTCACGAGGTGCCGACGTGGGAGCTGCCCCTTCGTGGGGACCTGTGAGGTAGGGGGAGACGGGGGCAGGAAGGGGGCGGGCGGCTTGGGGCCGCAGGGGCGGGGCCCCAGCCCCCGACCGCCAGGCGCGCCGTGCGCTGCTGCTGTCGCTGTCCCTCTGCCCTGCCACCGGAGCCGTTTGCCCAGGACCCTCTGACTTCAGTTTGTGCGCAGCCACTTGCTGGGGTGGCAGCCCTAGGGTCCTAGAGTGGAGTTTTTGAGCGAACACGATGCAGGAAGGAGTGTCCTATCGTCCACGGTGAGGACAGACCAAGGGGAAGGCGGGGGGCAGGCGTGCGACGTCCTTCTGGAATCTGCTGGGATCCGGGCGGGAGCCGAACAGGGTCCGGGACGCTTGGTGGGAAGGTCGCTCCCGCGACGCAGAGCAGGGTGGACGCTGGAGCCCCGCCTCGCTGGCGGGGGGTAGGACGGAAAGGACAGAAGCCTGTGACCTGGCGTGGCAGCTGGGTGAGTAGCCTGCAGGAAGCCCGCGGCAGGGCAGGGCCGGCGTCTGGAGGTGCAGGCTGCTCAAGAAGGAGGGCGTCCAGGTCGGCCTTTCACCTGTCCTCATGCCCAGCCGGGACGAGAGGCCGCACAGCCCTGTCCCCGCACTGGGCGCTTTGGGGTTGGCTGTGAGTCTTCGGAGTCGGAGGTGGAGCTGTCCAGCCGTGGCGGGGGCTTGGCGGGTGGGCGCCAGAGGGGAAAGATGGGGTGCGCGGGGGGTTAGGGGAGTGTCATCCGCGGGGTGAAGGCTGGGCGCCTGGGGAGGGAGAGGCTGGGCGTCCGGGAGCACAGGAGGAGTGGGGCTACAGAGGGCCCCCGCGGGGAGTCATCGCTTGCTACTTTATAAAGAACTTGCGCTACTTAGAACGTGAGAGTCGGTAGGATTGGTTAAAGATCCTAAGCGTAGAGAGTGTTTTAAGTTTTGACACCTGAGCGTTTCAGTACTTATTACACAGCAGGATGCTAACCTGGCATCAAAGGGTCTCTTCTGTCCTCAAAATAGAGTCTTACTTCAAGATGGTAAACCATTCATCTGACACACAGAGGTACGAAGATACCCGTTTGTTTCTTAGGATCCAGCAGAGAGGCTGTTCTTTTTACTGAAGGCAAACTTTGTTGACGACGGCCACACCCTTCATGCCATCTGCTCCAGCACTTGCTCTTAAAATACTTTAAATTATAATATTTCACTTTTCTGAATCACTTCCTTGACTTTAATTTTTGGCACAGTTTTATAGTTCGTCAGGGATAAAAACCACAGGAGGATTTCTGGGGTAAGGATGAAAAGAAACGAGGTATATTCGCATGGTCGCATTCTGTGTTAAGAAAAACGATGATAAACGTCTCAGCGATTCAAGCCGAGTTACTCTCTCTGTGCTTTGGAACCCTGGCCCGCGTGCCCTTCCCTCCGGGAAGAAGGCTGGATGCGCAGCTGAGGGCGAGGGCTGGACCGGCGGGGTCCCCTGCCAGGGAGAGCTCAGCTGAGGTGATCCGGCGGGGGTCTGAAATAACAGGGACCAGGACCCCGTGTCAGCAGCACCTCCTGTAGGTTGTTCTGTGTAGAGAGCAGCGCGAGCCCCCCGTGGGTGGGCCCAGCTGCCTAGAACTAAAATGTTAGTTTTGGAATATGATTCCCTCTCCCCCAAGCCAGCAACAGCTCATGCCCACTTCCAGTGCGCTGTCGCCTGTGAGCGCTCGCAGCCGTCCTCACCACGCGTGGAGCAGGACATGCCTGTTTGCGCAGAGGTGTCCCCGATGCGCCGTGTGTCCGTATTATCGGAGCTGGACACGCTGATCCTAGAGCTCACACGGAAGAGCAGAAAGCAAGAGTAGCCAGGACAAGGGAGGGAGTAGCCCTACCCGATGTTAAAAGTTAAAAACCTATAGAAAGTTGTTGTTTTTAATATATCCTTTCTCTTCTCTTAGCGCAGCTTTGCTGAGGTGGAACAGACCTGGGGGAAGCTGTGCGTAGTGCACACAGCGTGTGCAGCCCGATAAACCCTCCACACCTGTGACCATCACTGGTGTCGAGATGGTGACCGTTACCACCCTTCCCCCCAGAAACCCCATCCTCCAGCCTCCCTGCGCCCTACCCCGAAGCACCCCGTCCACTTTCTGCGCCTCTGGGGGCTGTAGAGATTAAACATTAATTTACTGTTACATGAAGAGACAGACGATGGAACACACTAGAAAGGCCAGAAATAGACACAGTAAATCATGGAAATTTATTTTATGATAAAGATGGCATTTCAGATCATTGGGGAACAGATGAATTACTCAGTAAAAAGCGTTGACAGTTGGGTAACCATCTGGGGAAAAAAATAAACTAAAGTTGGATATATGCCTCACAACCAAATCTGAAGCAGATCGGATTTCACATAAGAGAAGTGGAACCACAAATTACTGGAATAAACCTTGGGGCACTTTTTATAGCCTCGTGTTGGGGAAGGCTTTCCTAAGTTTGTTTCCAAACCCAGAAAAGATGGAGAAATGTAAAAGATTGCTAAATATAAAAAATTTTCTGCCTGCCATAAAATAGCCATAAGGTTGAAAGACTGAAAAAAATTGAAATTCACACTGCGGATAAAAGGTTGATTTCTTTAAAAAAATACTTCCTACATATCAATAAGAAAAGACCTAAAAGACCTACAACTCTGTAGAAAAAAGGTTAATTTCAGATGGTTTAGTGTAGACGGTCCCTAAACACATGAGATGTTCAAACTCCCTCAAAATATGAGAAATGCAGCTTAAAGATGCAACGAGAACGTGCCCTTTAGTACTGCGTCGACGAGGTCTAGCCATTCGCCAGCACTGTGCCCGAGCCTCCGGAGGCACTGCCAGCAGCCTGCCAAGGGTGTGCGTGTGTCCTCGACCAGGGCGTCACGTGCGGGTCTGTAGCTCAGGATGCGCACTCGCGTGGGTGTCACGGCCGGAGACGGCGAGAGCGCGGACCGGGTGGTGCGAGGTTCACGCCCGGCTGGGAGACGGGCGCGGACACAGGCCTGCGTGGGAAGGTGGCGCTCGGCGCACCGCGTGCCCGGGTCCCGGATACCGTGTGGCGTCAGCCGAGGAGACCAGGCGCAGGCGCGTGTGGGGCTTTTGAGAGGAGGTACAAGCATGCAGCTGACCACACTTGTGCTCCTGGGACGACTCTGCCGGTGTTTGCCTTGTGGGAGGGGGGCCGGGCTTGGGCACATTGACGTGGCTGGTGTTCTCCAAGAGAGAATTACCGTGCAGGAGACAAATCAGGTAAATACTGATCCATTAGATGCTGATCTTTGGGTCCCACATTGCGTTTTATTTGAAACTTCTCAATCGTCACAATGACACCGAGTTTTTCGGCGTTATTGTTCGGTTGGCCTTTTGTCCTCTGGGTAGATGTACGGTAGCAGATTTCTTGTTTAGGAGGTCTGCTCTGCCACAAGGCCACGCTCAGGAGAAGGCCCAGTGGGTCTGGGTGCCCTGTCTGCGCGGGAGTGATATGAACAAGGGTCTTGTGTCCGCAGAACTGTCTCACCCGCGTGCACGGGAATCCCCGGAGCCATCTAAGGGGTGACTCGGTGGGACTCTCCACCTTGCAAAGAAAGCTGAGGCAGAGAGGTTTGTTGTCTTGCCCCAGACCACGCAGTGAAAAAGACGCTTTGTTCACCAGGTTTATTTCTTCAGTAAACGTTCCTGGCCTCGGTTTCCAGGACGATTCCTTTTTCGGGCCCTGGGCTGGGACGAAGGTGGCCTCAGGGTGACGGGGCTCGGGGTGGCCTTCCACTTGAGGAAGTTTCCTTGTCCTCCGGAGCGGGAGTGTCTACACCCTGACGCTGTTTCACGGGGTGGGGTGAGGGGAGCAGACGCAGGTGCCGGCGGAGCTGAGAGCTCACAGTCGTGGACCCGCGTAGGGTTTCAGGACGTCAGGGTCGGGCTCTGTGCTGGGAGTGTTTTTCTGCTGAAAAGTAAGAAGCGCTCTAGGGAGGATTGTCGTGTGTGCCGGCCCCCCTCCCCGCCTGAATCCAGAGCCCCTGCGTTCAGAATGCAGCGTACTTCTCTGGGGGTTCTGCTTGCCCCCAGACGTCCAGCCCTGGCCCCTCCAGATTGAACACCCATCACAGCCCCCATTGACGGGGACTGCATTGCTTTCAGATGTTTCTGAGACATTTCCTCATACAGGTACTTGTGACTTGTTTTCTCTTGCCCCCTGAGAGATAAAGGGGCAAAAGTCGGGAACTCAAGTGGTTGTGTGTTGGACGGGGTGACCTGGCTTGCCCTGGTCCTAGAAGAGCAGAGGCTACTTTGTAGGTCTTTGGGTTTTGTTTTGAATTATATAACGGAAATCATGACATTGTTTATTCCTTTTTCTCTCTGACCAGAAAGCAGGTCAGTAAACCTTTTTGACCAGCTAAGGGGCTAGGACGATTAAATGCCCCTTTGTGAGCAGGACCGCGTGGAGGCCGCGCCGTGCGGCCCGGGAGGGGTGGCCGTGCCTCTGGGGTTGCGTCGTGAGCCCCCCAGACTCTCATGCTCTCCTCATCTTCTTACAGATGAACGTGTCTCCCGCTTCCCTGGCCAGTCTTTATGAAGAAGACTTTAAACAAGACATGGCAGCCTTGAAGGTAGGTGTGTGATGAGCAGCTTGGACGGTGGACTCTGGGGCTGACCCCCTCCGCGTGGAGCTGGGGAAACCGCGTCTCTCCTCTGCTTTCTTACAGGTTCTCCCACCCACCGTGTACCTGAGGGTAACTGAAAACATTCCTCAGATAATTGCTTTTATCGAGAGAATAATTGCTAACGGGCACGCTTACTCCACCCCGAAAGGTAGCGGTTATGTTATTAACCTGATCGCTGGGTGAGACCCTGTAGGATTTTGACGGGCGGGCTGCATATTTGGGTGGCTCGGATGGGCCGAACGTCTTACTGTCTTTCTTGGTAGGATTCTTACGGCAAAAATGTTGTGAGATTTTCTACGATTGTGTCTCTTTGTGAAACTGCTGAATCAGTTCTCTTTCAAAATACCTTGCACTGTCAGAGGCGAGGTGGGCATCCGAGAGTCGATCTCGACGAGGCAAACGTGGCCAGGTGCTAACAGCCACGGGGTCCGGGTGGGAGTACAGTCTTCACTGGAGCCTTTTTTCAACTTTGTTTATAAGTTTTCACAACACAGCTGGGGACAGTGGCGGTCGCTCTGAAGACCCACTCCCTTGTTAAGGACTCTTGCCCCTCTCTGCGTAGGGGAGGGTTGTTTTCGATGGGCCAGTGGCAGAAACGGCAGATCTCCCAACACTGCCACTCGCACCTGTGCATAAAGGGCTTCGCCCTACGTCACCCCCCAGGCGCTGGACCGATCCCTCCCGCATCCCGTGGCCTCTGCACGGGGCTGTGTCCCCTCTTCCGTCTAAGACACACCCACAGTGTTCCCTCCACGAAGCTGAAGACACTGACTGGGTCCCTTGTACAGAACACCCTGTCTTCGGGTGCTTTGCCTGATCCTCTTGGAGACAAAGCCTGAATATAGCAAATACGTGAAGGGAGAACCGCAAGTCCTCGTGTGCACAGGCTGCACGCGGTTCCAGGCAGGGTCCCCGCGCCTCTCGGGCTCTCGGGCAGGACCACGAAGGAAAGGTGCTCCTTGTGCAGTCAACCCCGTAAACCGCATCTAGGCTCACACCTCTTCCTTTGTCCTCTACTCTCCACGAGCATGGTGGCACCGGCAGAGCCCCGACCCGGGCTGCGCACTGTGGGCATCATTCACAAGGTCAGAGGCTTTTCTGGTCCAAGAACCGACAAGTTGTGCAAATAAGGCAGCACGGGATGGGCTGCCCAGTGGGACGGTGCCGATATCAGAGCTGAGGAAGTCCACCGTCAGCCCCGTGGGTGGAGGAAGCTTCCTGGGAGAGAGGAGACTTGGGCCAGGGCTTTGGGGATGGGCAGGATTTGGAAGGCGCGGCTGGGGAGAAGAGGGTGCAGCTGAAGAAAGGCAGGATCCCAGAGGCAGCCAAACACCAGGGTGCAGCCTTGCCCTGGGGCCCCAGACAAAAGCAGCAGCTCCTAAACCAGTTAAACTGGACCCAGAGGAAGGGCCAGACAAAGCACCCCAAGACGGGCATTCTGTACGACAGGGGACCCGGTCGGTGTCTTCAGCTGTGGGGGGAACACAGTGGGTGTGTCTTAGAAGAGGGGACACAGCCCCATGCAGAGGCCACGGGATGCGGGAGGGCTCAGTGCAGCGCCTGGGGGGTGACGTAGGGCGAGGCCCTTTATGCACAGCTACACGTCTGCTCCAGAAGATACGGGAGGCGTCTCCCTGCGGTCCTGGCCCTGGAGGGGGAGGAGTGACCAGTCCTGAGACCTGTGTCCTGAGGCACCAGGGGTTCACCCAGGCGCGGCACTGGATAAATGCTGCGTGTCGTCCTGTTTGGTTTTGGTTTTTTAATTTATTTATTTTTATTTTTGGCTGCGTTGGGTCTTCGTTCCAGTGCGCGGGCTCCTCATCGCGGTGGCTTCTCTTGTTGCGGAGCACGGGCTCTAGGCGCACGGGCTTCAGTAGTTGTGGCTCGCGGGCTCAGTAGCTGTGGCACACGGGTTCAGTAGCTGCGGCTCGCGGGCTCTAGAGCGCAGGCTCAGTAGTTGTGGCGCACGGGCTTAGTTGCTCCGCGGCATGTGGGATCTTCCCGGACCAGGGCTTGAACCCGTGTCCCCTGCATTGGCAGGCGGACTCTTAACCGCTGCGCCGCCAGGGAAGCCCTGGTTGTACATTTTTAATAATGGTGACACAAACATAATTCATTTAAAATAAATGTATTAACTTGAACTCCAATAATTTGGACTTTGTGGCAGTTCCACAAAAGCTTGACTCTAATTTGAGCTTTGAACTATTTGTGAAGAAAAAATTTGTTCAGCAAATGGGTGAAGTAAGCCCAGGTTCGGGAAAATGTGTCCTCTATCAAGGGAGCAGTTTCTCCCTCTGTCACAGCATTTTCAAAGTGCTGTCCGCATTCTGACTTAGTAGAAAGCAGCTCCCCCAGTATTTGTTTCGCTGCTGTACCCCGGCGCGTAGGTCGGGCTCAGTAATTAACTGCGTGCGGAGGAAGGACCCCGTGGGGGACTGGCAGAGCCCAGTCACCGGGGGCCGTTTCCCCTCTGTTCTGCCGATGGCCCCCCTGCGGCGCTGGCGCCTGCCCTGTCCCCGCCAGCCGGGCTGGAGAGTGACCGGGGACATGAGCCTCTGACAGTCCAAGCTCCGTGGATCTTGTGTTTGTCTTGGCCGCTCCGTGAGGCAGGTGGGATCTTAGTTCCCCGACCAGGGATCGAACCTGGGTCCCCTGCAGAGGAAGTGCAGAGTCTTAACCACTGGACCGCCAGGGAAGTCCCATAAAGGCTTCCTGGATCTTAAAGCAACCTGTCTTCAAGGCCACGGTCCCTAAGAAGGATAGTGCAGATACAGATTAGTAGCTGTGTCAGTACAAAGAATGTGAAGATTAAAAACCAGAAGTTTGCAAAGGTTAAAAATCGCACCCGACCTTGGGCCCTCGCGCTGATCGCGGCGTGCAGGTGCCCGGTCAGGAGTGCAACCCAGTGGCTGCGGCGTCGGCCTTCCTGAGCGCCGGCTCCTTCGGGGCAGGACTCTTCCTACCAGGGCTGCGGCTCTGCCACCGCCTTCCCTGCTCTGCCTCTTCCTGAGTGGGGACGAGCAGGGTTCCCGGGCTCTGCAGGGTCCCCGTGGGAGGGTTGTCTGGCACCCGCAGCACGTGTGCACCTTGGTGAAAGGACCCCACGGCGGGGGGGGGGGGATGCTTTCGTGTGAGGTGCCTGTTCTGAGTGGCAGGGTGGTCTTAGGGTATCCAGGTTAAAAACGGCTTGCTTTATTGATGGGTCTGTAACCCAGGGCCCAGAGCTGAAGGCAGTCCAGTGATAAACTCACTTCCCTTTTTTCTTGTTAAAAAGAACTGGCTCAACATTTTACAGAGAACTTACATTTGTGTTTTCCCTTTCACAACCGGATGTTCATGATGTGTGCAAACGCATGTTTTGTTTTTTTTTTTTGCGGTACGCGGGCCTCTCACTGCTGTGGCCTCTCCCGTTGTGGAGCACAGGCTCCGGACGCGCAGGCTCAGCGGCCATGGCTCACGGGCCCAGCCGCTCCTCGGCATGTGGGATCTTCCCAGACCGGGGCACGAACCCGCGTCCCCTGCATCGGCAGGCGGACTCTCAACCACTGCGCCGCCAGGGAAGCCCCAGCAAACGCATGTTTTTACAATACAGTGTTGCTGTTAATTCTGGTTTAAACATACGGTGAAAGGCGCCACCTGAAGGCTGATGCCGTATCCTGGGTTCAGGGTCTAATTGTCATTAGCTGTGAGGCGTGTGTAGATGCGGGTGCTGACGACAGAAACGAGCTTCACGGTCACCTTTATGAAACAGGCAATGTCTACTTCGACCTGCAGTCAAGAGGAGACAGATACGGCAAGCTGGTCGGCGTGGCCCCTGCCCCCGTGGGAGAGACAGGTGGGTCCAGCCTCTCCCTGCCGTGGGGTTCTGGGGACAAAGCCCAGACCCTCCCCTGCTCTCTCAGACGTGGTGATGTTGCCGGACGTCGATCACACCCGAGTTTTCGATTTACTTGGGTTTTTTTGGAATAGAGAGACCGCGCAGAGTAGGATGTTGCTGCAGCACGTGACACGCGGCGTCCCGTTCCTCCCTGGGGCGCTCTGCACGTGCACACGCCGTCTGCGCTGTCACGTCTTAACGCTCTTGTCCACCTGGCTGCTGTCACGTGTTAAATCCCCGTAGGTATTTTATCATACGTAAATTCCCGCATAAACTTCCCCGTGATTCTGCCGCTTTTCATGTGCTTTAAAGGCGACTCCAATCTACCTCTTGAAAACTTCTAGTTAAGTTCCCATACGTATTTTAGCATGTATGACATTCCCACTGTATTCGAATCTATTCCTATACCCTCTTCTGCAAAGTCATTTTTGTGGAGAAGAAATAATAAGTATATAGAACTACATGAAAAATAATTGGGAGATTGGGATTGACGTAAACATAATTTTAAAGGATACTATTGAGAATTAACAAAACCAAACAAAAAATGAGCAAAAACCCAAAAGACAAGTTGTCTGAGTCGTCTCTGCTTTTAGGCGTAACCCTCCTGCCCTATGACCCGTGTCGTTTCAGTCTAATTACAGCGGGTGTGTTGAGTTGACTCCCCAGAACAGTTCTTCTAACTTGTGCGCAGTCGCTGTTATCCTGCTTCCGTCCTGGACCATCCACGCCTGCGAGGTGTGGCCCCGGCCTTAGGGAAGCAGAGGAGGAACTTCTGATACCTACACATTCTAGCATCAGCAACACTTTAAAAAAAATATATACTTTATTTTTTCGAGCAGTTTTAGGTTCACAGCAGAATTGCGTGGTAGGTCCAGAGAGTTCCGTATGCCCGCTGCCCCGCTGTACACAGCCGCCTCGTTATCAGCATCCCCACCAGAGTGGGACGTGTTAGAACTGGTGGACCTGCACTGACATGCCAGCCTCACCCCGAGTCCATAGTCTACATCAGGGTTACTCTTGGTGTCTCTCTGGGTTTAGACGGATGTGTAATGACAGGTATCCGTCATTATAGTATCACGCAGAGAGTTTCTCAGCCCTAAAGATCCTCTGTGCTCTGCCTGTTCATCCCCTTCCCGCCCCAGCCTCTGTCAGCCACTGATCTCTTTACTGTCCCCATTGTTTTGCCTTTTCCAGAAAGTCATAGAGTGGGAATCATACAGTCTAGCCTTTTCAGACTGGCTTCTTTCATTTAGTAATACGCATGTAAGATTCCTCCTTTCTTTTGTTTTTTTTTAAGTTTTTTTTTTTTGATGTGGACCACTTTTAAAGTCTTTAATGAATTTGTTACAATACTGCTTCTGTTTTATGTTTTGTTTTTTTGGCTGCGAGGCAGGTGGGATCTTAGCTCCCCAACCAGGGATCGAACCTGCACCCCTTGCACTGGAAGGCGAAGTCTTAACCACTGGACCGCCAGGGAAGTCCCCCTCCATGTTTTTTCATGGCTCGAAAGCTCACTTCTTATCAGCATTGAATAACACTCCATTGTCTGGATGGACCACATTTTGTTTATCCATCACCTACTGAAGGGCATCTTGTTTTGGAACATAAAGAGAGCCCCGTACCGGCTTGTCCTATAACCCTGAACCCCCCTCTTCTGAATTTTCTTGCTTTCTGAATGTGATTGATACAAATACTCTGGTATTTTCCTTTTTGCTCTGATTATCATCTCTCTTTGAAAACAGTTACTCTGAAACTCAGCTACTGACAGAGACGGAATGAGGGAGCATGAGAGCACGTGTGGAGTTGGCCCCTCAGCAGCATCAGTGCATGTACTTGAAGCCCCGCACGCAGCTGCACTGCTGGGGGACCGCGTGCTTCTCTCATGTTATAGATAAAAGTACCTGGTAGCTGTCTAGCTTTCACGTGGCAAAGAGAAAACCACGTGCACGAGAAATGTGAGGTTACTCCTCAGAGGAACGGAATCGGGGACGTGCGTCCTACCTGTTTGGGGGTGACTGTGTTGGTTCGTTCTGGATTCCCTCCCGCTGATTAACCATCTGTCACTGGCAGATCACTCTGACAAGCGGCATGCCAGCGACTTTGCCCTGTGGAAGGCGGCGAAGCCCCGGGAGCCGTCCTGGGCCTCGCCCTGGGGAGACGGGAGGCCTGGCTGGCATATCGAGTGTTCCACCATCGCCAGGTGAGGTTTTCCCGGGGTCGTCTGTGCTGTGATGCACACGCTCGGCCAGCAGAGGGCGCAGGTGGGGGCAGGCTTGGTCCTAGTGCCGGCAACGCAGGTGGTTTGGAAAGGAATCTTAGCGCCCCGGTGGGACCGGCCGTGGGAAGGGAAGCAGCAAAACCAGAACACGTTTATCTCCCCAACGTCAGCGCTTGTTCTCTTTAGTAGAAGAGCCCGCTTTGCAGTTAGTTCTTGACTGCCCGTCACACGCAGGCCAGCTCCGGGGGTGCCTGCATCTCTTCCGCGGTAGGTTCAGGAAGGCGGCCAGGGACCTGGGCCAGGGGCTGGAGCCCCATCCTTGGCCCCAGAGCTGGTCCTGGACCAGGCGCCTCGAGCGTGACCCCCAGCGTCCCCTTCCGTCTGCCCTTTCTGCCGGCTCTGTCTCGGGCAACACCATGCCCAGGACGTTTCTGTCTTGGGAACCCCTGTAAACACAGCGCTTCTCTGGTCCCCATTCTCCTCCAGGGACCCTCTTTTTTGTCTCTTCTCTCACTGTCCACGCATCCCCGCTGTTGTCTGACGGGCGTCCCCACCCACTCTGGTCTCCGGAGGTCACGGTGACCGTCAGCCCCGTCTGCGACGGGCCGCTGACACCCCTGTTCGCTCCCTGGCTTCTGTGGAACAACGTTCTTCTGGTTTTGTCGTCTCTGCTGGGGCCTCATCCACCTTCCTTTTGTGGACCTGCCCTGTGGACCGTCCCTCCGGCATCTGCGCTCCCTTGCCTCTGCCTGTGTGTGTGTGCGTGTGTGCTCGTGGGTACTGAAGGCCGCACCCCAGCCGGGCTCTCCACTTGCAGCCTGTCCCGGGGGTCCCACCGTGGCCCCCGAGCCCTGCACGTTAACTCGTGGATTTTGACACATTTGATGTGTTGCAGATATTATAATCAGTTTTTTAAAATTAATTAATTTATTTTTGGCTGCATTGGGCCTTTCTTGCTGCATGTGGGCTTTCTCTAGTTGCAGCGAGTGGGGGCTACTCATTGCGGTGGCTTCTCTTGTTGCGGAAGACGGGCTCTAGAGCACAGGCTCAGTAGTTGCGGCACATGGGGTTAGTTGCTCTGCGGCATGTGGGATCTTCCCGGACCAGGGCTCAAATCCGTGTCCCCTGCGTTGGCAGGCAGATTCTTAACCACTGGGAAGCCCCTGTAATCGGTTTTTAAAATTAGAAACAACATATGATTAAGGTGAACATTTCAAACTACTAGCCACACCCCAAATTTTAAGATCAGCAAACCCAGTCGTCCTCCTGTCAGCTGTTGTATGTAGCACCTTTCTGGCTGGGCGTGAACGTTATCTAAGAGCAGGCTGCCCTGTGCCTCGACCTCACGCTGGTTTCGTCTCTGGTGTAGGCTCACCCCACTCTACGGGGGGAAGCCTCACCCTCCGCCACCTGCCTGTGCCAGCATGTTCATCCCAGCGAAGACCTAGAAGGGGTCCTACCTCCCCCGCCCCTCGCCGCGTGCTCCTCCCCTGCTGCCCTCGTCCGTGGTGGTGTCTGTATGAGACTTAACCGGGAAACACATCTGAAACTCCTGAGATGTCACACCCTGTTGTTAGTATGAAACAGGGTCCAACTTTTCGTTAAAAAACAATCAACTAGGGACTTCCCTGGTGGCGCAGTGGTTGAGAGTCTGCCTGCTGATGCAGGGGACACGGGTTCGTGCCCTGGTCCGGGAAGATCCCACATGCCGCAGAGCAACTAAGCCCGTGCACCACAACTACTGAGCCTGTGCTCTAGAGCCTGTGAGCCACGACTACTGAGCCCTCGTGCCACAACTACTAAAGCCCGCACGCCTAGAGTCCGTGCTCTGCAACAAGAGAAACCACCGCAATGAGAAGCATGCCCACAGCAACAAAGAGCAGCCCCTGCTCTTCGCAACTAGAGAAAGCCCACGCGCAGCAATGCAGCCAAAAATAAATAAATTAATTAATTTATTAAAAAAAAAGATCTTCATCTTTTAGATTCAAATAATTTCTCTAAAGCAGGAAGCATTTAGTAAATTTCAAATGTAATGTTACCATCAAATGTTTTATTTTTGTTGAAATCTAAATAATGAAACTGGACTTCTATTCCTTTTCAGCTTTCTCTTATTTTAAAATAGGTGTGACATACAGACAAGACTAGAGACTAATCTAACGAACACTGCAGACCCACAGTTTAGCTGTTAAGTCTTAACTTCGTCATATTTGCTTCAGATCTTTGTAAAAAATGGGTCACTCGTTACAAATGCGAGTGTGGCCCCTCATATGCTCCTCCCCAGTCCTGGTCCCTCCCACCTCACGCTCGCCCTCGTAGCGTTTGAATTTCGAGGACTCTTATTAGAGATTCTCTAGAAACCACTGCCAAGGATGTACGGTCCTGGACGACCTGCTCGCCCACTCAGCTCAGGTGTGACCAGTGCATGCGTGGTTTTTCCAGAGCTGGGCCAGTGGGAGGAGAGTCGGCCTTCAGCAGGAAGGACCTCAGTGAGGCTGTGGCATCTTTGAAAACATCTATTTTTAACCATTTTTAGAAAAACTCACTGGTGTCTGCACCCCCGGGGGGCCGACGGCCTCCAGAGCTCCACAGCCGCCTGCCTCGCGCCCCCTTTCCGTTGTGCGAGCTTTTGCATTTTTCACTGATCTCTGCATTTTTAACGTCCTCTGAAGCAGCTGTTGGTCAGCCTGGACCACTGGTGCTGGTACCGGTTGCTTTGCAGGTGCTCTGGTGACAGAGCTGCACACACTGAGTGTCCCCGGCAGGCCTGAGAGGTGCAGCGTGCAGTTTCATGGACCGAGCAGCCTTATAGCTGAAATGCGGCCAGCTGAAATGTGTCACTTTGAATTCTGTTACTTTGTTATTCACGTACGGCTGCTGAATGGCTCATTTTTCAAAAGCCAAATTAAAAATCTCTTGATTTTATAGTTATTTTTTTGTTATAGTTGAACAACCACTAAGGTCTGCCTACTGAAAGTAAGAAAAAGTAATTTTGAAGTTTTTAAAAACCACATATTGTATCCAGAGCAAAGAAGATGAAGTCTCTTTCCCAGGCGGAAAAGCTATGAATTAGAGATTTTATGAAGTAAAAACAAATGTCAGGTTCCGTTTGCATCAGCTGAATTATCATGCATTCGGAATCGGGCTCCATTCGGTATGTGCGTGGCCCAGGGCTGGAAGGAGTAAATACGGGATGTGGTTTGGAGACCGTGTCGTTGGGTTGAGTTAACTCCCTGCTCTGCCCTGTGTCTTGCAGTTTGGTGTTTGGAAGCCGGCTGGACATCCACTCGGGTGGCGTAGATTTAGCGTTTCCTCACCACGAGAACGAAATCGCACAGTGCGAGGTCTTTCACCAGTGCCAGCAGTGGGGGAATTATTTCCTACATTCTGGTGAGCGAGGACTTCAGATTAATTTGTTCCATTTCCATTCTCTCGACTCTGTTCGTGAAATAGCTACATTTGGAAACAGCTGCATCAGCTAATAGGTCAAGCAGCAGAGCTGTCCCTTAAGTGGCCTTTGACTTGTTGTCGGTTGGACGTGACCTTCCTTGGATTGGAATACCGAACGCGCCTTTTGGAACTGAAGTGTGAGCTGACGAGAGTTCGGCCCTTCAGCGGGAGGACTTGTGAGAGCAGAGTGCTCCGAGCCCATCCGGGGAGGGAATCACAGGTCCCAGGGATGGAGGTGTTCCCGTGCCCGGTCGCAGGCTCGGGGACAGGTGATCCCGTGTTACCCGTCGGAACGCGAGGGCTGGTCCCCACAGGCTCTTCGTCGGTGGCGCTCGCGAGGAGTTGGGGTTCGCCGCAAGCACCAGTGCCCCTCGGTGACCGGGTCTGCCATCAGACGGGACCCGCGGCAGTGCCAGGGCTCACGGGGCTCTGTGTCCGCACACGGCAGGTCCTGCTGCTTTGGATGAGGCGTGGGGAAGGGTTTTGCTGTTAAGACCCACGATCTGTTAGGACGTTGGAATCTTCTTTGTCCCACTTTCACCCGGTCCCGGAGGAACAGCTGTGTCTCCTGACACCCTGGAGAATCGATGCCTTTTCCTGAAGTAAATGGATGGAAGTAGAGTTCAGCAGTCAGATGTTTCGTTTTCCAGATGTTGTCAGTTTTTTAAAACTTCACTTGTACTTGGTGTATATGGCAGGCTGCATAGGTTGACATATTCAAGGTTACGTAGCTTTTTGGAAGCCACATTGTAACCGGTTCTTGGAAAAGTTGGCTTGAAAAAAGGTGGTGCTTCAAGCTGTGTCAGAAAAAGTGGAAGAATTTTCTGTTGGGAAATCACAGCTCCCTTGGAAGTGAGCCTGGTACAGATGTGGTCCAGGAGGTCCAGGCTCAGATGGAGGAGTCCTGAGGGGGTTCGGGTCCCCCCATCTTTCACACACGGGCGTGAAACGATGCTGAGGCTGGGATATGTCTGAAAACGAGCTACAGACATGCTCACAGTGTTGCTCGGAGACCCGCACGCTTTGTGGAAGCAAAGATGTGTCCTCTCCTCGGGAGCTGAGTCAGGTCCCCTGTGTTGGTGAGTCACAGGAGAGGGAGGGGCTGTCCCCGCAGTGTGATGCCCTGGCCGGGAGTGGACGTGGGCCCCCCTTGCTGGTGAGTTGAGCGCGGGGCCGATCTGGGGGGCCTGTGTGGGCATCCACTCAGGGCTGTGTGACAGGTCAGGGCTCCCGGAGTCCAGGCGCCTTTGGAGACGCGCCCTCCTTCACCCTGCCTCTGGGGGTACAGAATGAGTGACTTTGTTTTTGTTTCAGGGCATTTGCACGTGAAGGGCAAAGAAGAGAAGATGTCCAAATCACTGAAGAACTACATCACAATTAAGGTAACGCAATTGTCGTGTTTCCTGTGTGCCCGCCAGTCTGCCAACGTGTCACGGAGGCTGATATGCATCAGGAGACCCCCATCTCCGGTTCCCTGTGTCCCCGGGGCCCTGACGGGCTTCTCCTGCTTCTGGCTTAAATGGCTTTCTCTTGTCTAAAAGTGCGAGGTGGTGTTTCCTGTCCTGTCGCGTCCTGTGTTGGGGGCCTCGGCCTCTCCCCCCTCACTGTTCCAGGACTCCGATTTTATTGATTTGGGCCCTTTCTCCCTCTCTTTTTTTTTTTGGTGAGTCTAGCTAAAGGTTTATTGATTTTATCTTTTCAAAGAACTAGTTCTTAGTTTCATTGATCTTTCGTATTTTTTTTTCAGTCTTTATTTCATTTATTTCTGCTCTTACCTTTATGATTTCTTTCCTTCTATTAACTTTGGGTTTTGTTTGTTCTTCTTCTAGTGCCTTAAGGTGTGAAGTTAGGTTGTTTATTTGAGATTTTTCTTAAGTTTTTCTGAGGTTTTTCTTATATTACTAAATACTTCCCTTTTAGGACTGCTTTTGCTGCATCCCACGTATATGAGGTTATTTTAGTGGATGATCTCAGTTTGAACACATGCTAACAAGCTTGCATTTTTACCCATCTCGCATGTTTAATGTTTTTTACATCATGTTTTACATGTTTTGTGTATCACTTAACTTATTGTGGATATAGATGATTTATAGTATTTTTGTCTTTTAACGTTCCTACTAGCTTTATAAGTGGTTACTCTATCTTTACTGAATGTTTGCCTTTACCAATGAGATTTTTCCTTTCAGAATTTTCATATTTCTAGTCGTGGACTTTTCTTTTCCTCTTAGAGAAGTCCCTTTAACATGTCGTGTAATGCTGGTTTAAGGGTTCTGTTGCTTGTCTGTAAAATTCTTTCTCTCTTCTTCAGATCTGAATGATAGCTTGCTGGGTAGAGTATTCTTGGTTGTAGGTTTTTTCATCATTTCGGGTATATCATGTTGCTCCTTTCTGGCGTGCAGAAAAGTCAGCTGACAGCCTTACGAGAGTTCCCCTGTGAGAAACTAGTTGCTTTTCCCTTGCTGCTTTTAAGATTTTCTCTTTGTTTTTAATTTTCCCATTTTAATTACAGTGTGTCTTGCTGTGGATCTCTTTGGGTTCATCTCGTTTGGGCCTCTCTGTGCTTCCTGGGCTTGGATGTCTGTTTCCCTTTCGCAGGCTAGGCAAATTTCCAGCTTAGCTGGAAATATAAGCTCTCTGCCGCTTTCTCTCTCTCTCTCCTGGGGCCGCTACAATGCGAACATAAGTGCGCTCGGTGTTGTCCCAGGTGTCTCTTAAACTACTGAGTCTTTCGCATTAGCTTTCTTCCATATGGACTTAACTCATTTGAATGATCGTCTGTTGTAAGGGCGCACCTTACCCTATTGATGGCCATTTAAATTATATTTTTCATGGCCGTATTAAACTACACCTGCTTGGGTACATGCATTTAAAATTTTCATAGATATTACAAAGTCTGCATTACTTTCCTGACCACTTAGTGAGTGGCCCTTGGGGGGCGCTACTACAGGACTGAGTGACTTCCCTGCTGTTGGACTTTACAGAGACCAAAGTCTTCCCCAGCCTCACATTCCAGCCCCTGGCAACTACTGGTCTGCTCTCCATTTTCCTTCCTTCCTTCCTTCCTTCCTTCCTTCCTTCCTTCCTTCCTTCCTTCCTTCCTTCCTCCCTTCCTCCCTTCCTCCCTCCCTCCCTCCCTCCCTCCCTCCCTCCCTTCCTCCCTTCCTTCCTCCCTTCCTTCCTCCCTTCCTCCCTCCCTTCTTCCCACACCGCATGGCTTGCAGGATCTTAGTTCCCTGACCAGGGATCAAACCCAGGGCCCCAGCAGTGAGCGCAGAGTCCTAACCACTGGACCGCCAGGGAATTCCCTGCTGTTTCTGTTTTTTTTTTTAGGTTCCACACGTGGGTGAGATCATACAGTATCTGTCTTTCTCGGCTTTCTTTCACTGAGCCCAGTGTCCTCTAGGTTCATCCATGTTGTCACAAGCGGCAGGATTTCCTTCTTTTGATGACTAATAGTCCGTAGTGTGTATATGCACGTGTATGTGTGTGTGAGCGTGTGTCACATCTTCTTTGTCCATTCATCTATCTGTGGACACTTAGGTTGTTTCCGCATATTGACTATTGTCAGTAATGCTGCATTGAACATAGGGGTGCAGATATATCTACGAGATAGTGATTTTGTTTCCTTCAGATGTGTACCTAGAAGTGGAATTGCTGGACTGTATGGTAAATCTGTTTTTGATTTTTTTTTTTTTTTTTTTTTGCGGTACGCGGGCCTCTCACCGTTGCGGCCTCTCCCGTTGTGGAGCACAGGCTCCGGACGCGCAGGCTCAGCGGCCATGGCTCACGGGCCCAGCCGCTCCGCAGCACGTGGGATCCTCCCAGACCGGGACACGAACCCGCGTCCCCTGCATCGGCAGGCGGACTCTCAACCACCGCGCCACCAGGGAAGCCCTATTTTGGATTTTTTGAGGAACCTTCATACTGTTTTCCACGGTGGTTGTACCAGTGTACGTTCCCACCAGCCGCGCACAAGGGTTCCCTTTTCTCAATATTCTCATCAACACTTATTCTTTTCTTTGATGGCAGCCATTCTGACAGGTGCGGCGTCTCACTGTGGTTTTGATTTGCGTTTCCCTGATGATTAGTGATGTTGAGCATCTTTTCAGGCACCTACCTGTTGGCCATCTGTGGGTCTTCTTTGGAAAAACGTTTATTCAAGTCTTTTGCCCATTTTTGAATCTTTTTTTTTTTTTTTCTGTTGAGTTGTGTGAGTTCTTTATATATTTTGGTTATTTATCCCTTACCAGATAGATGGTCTGCAAATGTTCTCTCCCATCCTGTTGGCTGTCTTTTCATTTTGTTGACTGCTTCCTTTGCCGTGCAAAAGCTTTTTAGTTTGATGTAGTCCTACTTTCTTTCTGTGTCATTATCGGGAAACGGTCCACAGACACAGAATGCCGTAGAAAGGTCAGATTCCAGATTTCTGTTGAACTCTCTGACTCCATAGGGGCACCCCACAGTGGTGAAAATAAATACCCTTTAGTGTTGCTGGCGTTTGGAGAACTATTAACTTAGATTTCTGAACACACACTGAGGTTTATCTGAATGAGTCCACATTCTGAGTGGCAGGAAACTACCCCCCTTTCTTGGGGGGTGGGGCATGCCCAAGTGGTGTGCAGGATCTTAATTCCCCGACCAGGGATTGAACCCGTGCCCCCGGCGGTGGAAGTGCGGAGTCTTAACCACTGGACCACCAGGGAAGTCCAGGAAAAACCCTTTAAAATAAAACCACCTAAAATCCTTTTGGGATGAAATACAGAACATGGCTACCCCGAAAACATAAAGTGCTAAAATGAAAAAGAGGTCTCTTTCGGAAAAACCGAAGACCTAGACAGACATAAAATATCCATAATGTTAGTTTTTAAATTCTGTGACTAAATGCACGATTATGAGCAGAAAGTCAGGAGTGCACGAGAGGCACCGACTCGCAGAGAGAAGCGTGTGGGGCTGGTGGCGGCGTGTCGTGTGTCTGTCAGCGGTCAGGGCCCTGGGGCTGCGGGGAGGGCTTGCTGACGGTGGCCACGCCGCGGAGATGCACAGCTTTGCTCCTGCCCACACAGCTCCACAGCCGTACATACCAAGCGTCTGGAAGCGATTTATAAAAAGCTAAACACACAACAACTTAAAAAACAAATCCTCACCTAAGGCAAGCGTGTCCACTGGGAACAGGCCTCCTGCTACACTGTCAGAGACAGGAGAGGACTTGTAACAAGTTATGAAGCAGTTGAGTCCATGCTTTGGTGGGGAAGGAAACCTAAAGAAATAATTCAGAAAGGAGAGGGAAAAGTCAGAGGGTGGCTAAAGGCCCTCCGAGTACCCGGCGTTCACTCTCTGTCCCCTGTGTAACCCCACGCCAGCTGAGCTGCGTGTTTACTGGGGTCCCGCCGAGCACAGCCGGTTATCACGAGACCCTGGCAGGTCAGGGAAGCGCTGTCAGAGTGGCTGGAGTGACGGCCGACGGGACACAGAAGGACTTGCAGAGAAGGCACAGGATGCGAGGCCCTGGCCTTGGGTGTTTGGTTCACTAAGCCTTGTCTTTTTGTCACCATTATAGACACACTGCAGTTACGACACATCCGCATCTTAGCATTCTGTAAGTGAAGCTCCGTATGCGACAGCGCTAGTTATTTATCTGCCTGTGCTGTCCGTGGTGTAGTAACACCACAGTGCAGGGGCTCGGTCTCCGTGCTGCTGCTTTTGCAGATTTAAAGGGGAAGTGACAGGTGAGGACGCGAGGGCACGTGACTGCGCAAATGCGAGAATTAACACGCACACCGTGCGCTGTCCACCGGACGGGGTCTCTAGTTGGCTAGTTTGGGGAGTTAAGGGGACGAAGAAATACTCCTTTTTCACACCCTGGAAAGGAGCACCAGGGGACGGACACAGACGTTGAAATACCCGGTGTCTTACTGATAAAAGTCGGGTTGGACAGGGCTCTTCACCTTTTTCCCTGTCGATCCTGTTGTTGGCCTGGCGAAATCTGTGGCCGCTTCCTTAGAACGTAACATTTTTAAACACACAGAATGAAATCTGTAGGGGTCTGACAGGTGTTGATTATATCGAGATGCAGGAATCCATGCCCTCCCTCACTTGAGTGAACGCTCTAACAGAATCCAGCCGTGGGTCTGAGCCCCGCAGCTCACGTCAGATGAGTGACAGCACAGGCTGTGTGGAGGTGACGTGGCCGCAGGCTCGTGGGGCGAACATCCCGCGACTGCTCGGGGGGCGGTCCAGGTGTCTACACTGGGGGTTGGAGGAGCGCTGCGTGTGTCTGGGGGTTAGTGGCTCCTGTCTCTCCCGGCCCCCTGCAGGACTTCCTCAGCACGGCCTCCCCAGACGTCTTCCGCCTCTTCTGCCTGCGGAGCAGCTACAGGTCAGGTGAGCTGGCAGGGAGGCCTGGGTGCTCCTCACGTGTGGCCCCGGGGAGCCTCTGAGGGCCTCTGGGGACCCCGAAATCCGGGTGGGGTGCGCCCTGTCCTGTTGGGGTGTTGCCCTCGTGCCCTGAGGTTGGGTTCTGAACGGAAGCCCGAGGATGCTCCAGGGACCCCGGAGCCTGTCCCAAGGCCGCGGCTTTGCAGTGGGACTCCGGTGCCCAGTGCTCCGCGGGGCCCGGAGAGCCTGAGCCTGCGGCACCTGCCCCCTGGTGTCATGAGCCGTCCTGGCACAGGGCCTGAGCCAGGAGCCATCAGCATGGCACCGCCCCTCCCCTGGGCCAGAGGGTGTGTCCCCTTCCAGCTCTGAAGGAGAGTCTGGGGACCCCGGCACTCCCCGCTGGCCCTGTCCAGAGACCTGGGGCCGCCCGGGTGCGGCGAGTGTCCCTAATCTGTCCCCGCACACTCGCGGGCACGGTGATGGCCGGGTTTCCCTGCCCCTCCGGGAACACAGGGCCGGAGGCCTCGTGGCACTGGTCGGCTGGCCTCCCCAGAGGCGCTTCAGGTGCCCGGCAGGGCCCCTGCTTTCCAGAGCCATCTGTCTGTCTGTACATCTGTCTGTCAGCAGGAATGAGCCCTCGGCCACCCACATGGGGAGGGGTGTCCACGTTTCCTGCCCGGGGTCAGGACAGAGCCTGGCGGTCTGCGGGCGCTCGCGGCTCCCGGGTGACCGGGCTCCCTCCCCGCAGCCATGGACTACAGCGACGGCGCCATGCTCGAGGCCAGGCGTCTGCTCCGTGCCGTGGCCGCCTTTGTGGAGGACGCTCGGGCCTACATGAGGGGGCAGCTGGCGGGCGGCCCCGTCCAGGAGGACGTGCTGTGGGAGAGGTGGGTGCTGCTCAGGACCACCCGAGGCAGCGCTGTGGACACGGGGGTGGGGCTGGTGGGAGCCCCGGGACTGCCAGGGGAGGGGCAGGCACCCTGCCTTCAGGGAGGCCTGGACAGCCCACGGTCGCGTGGGAGCGTCAGGAACCTCGTGGATGGCGTGGTCGACGGGAAGTGGGGCAGGTGGGTGGACAAGCGAGCTGTTGAAGGAAGGAGGGGGGACCTGGGTCGCGGGACGGGTTGACGGGCGCGTCTGGAAGCCCAGCGTGTGCCCCCCAATCCCCCTGGGGTCGTGACCACAGGCCGGCCGTGCCTGCAGAGGTGGGAGCACAGCAAGGGGCCCCGGGAAGTGAACTGAGTGGTGGCGCGGGCGGGAGGACGGAGCCTACCCCGGACGTGGAGACGGTGTTTCCAGTTCTGTTGCTCGGTAAATGGCTCGACGTGGTCATCTGTGTTTCACTGCGTCCAAAAAAAGGCGAGGAAGGTTTGAGATTGGCTTCAGAGACGGTGAGAAAGTGGGAAGACAGAGCCTCGGGGGATACCAGAGGGAGATGAGGGGGGCAGGGTCATCGGGGGTCCCCGGAGGCTGATGGTGGGCGGGGTCTGTGTGCCCCGCCACCCAGGGAGCCCCTGGAGGAGTAGAGGGCCCGGGGCTCCTTCGGGGCCGGCCGGGAAGAGTGCAACTGCAGGAGAGAGGCAGGAGCTGCCTGTTGGTCACAGCAGTGGCGCCCAGGACGAAGCCCAAGCCCTGGGGCCGGGCAGCTGGGCCTTGTGGGGCTGGGAGCCATCAGTCGCTCGGCCACCCTCCCGATGGCGGGTGCCAGGGAAGGGCCGGCAGTGCCGCTCACCGGCAGGTGTGCAGGGGAGAGTCTGTGCCTCAGGAGAGGTCAGGTTATATGCCGGCTGACAGACAGCGCCGGGTTACAGAAGCCCAGGCAGCAAAGCTCTGTCTCTCCCCGTGGTCACTCGGGCCCAGGCTCCGCGGCTCTGACCAACCCTTCCTGTGCCTGGGGAGCAGGGCACCCAGAGGAGGTGGGGAAAGTCTGGGACGAGGGGCAGCAGGGAATCAATACGGTGGCAGAGCCTCGGAGGGGCCGGTGACTGACCGGCAGGCATGCAGGACAGCATGTGAGTGACGGGTGGCTCGAAGGGGACCTGACGGTGCCGCTGGGGACGGGTAAGGGGGCAGGCGAGGAGGAGGTGACAGTGACCTCAGTTTCCTTGCCAGGGGCTGAGGGGCTCGAGCGTCAGTCACGGCAGCCGGCTCCTGAGGGGGTCTGACAGCAGAGGGAAGGAGCTGGAAGGGCTGCCCCAGGGGCGGGAGCTGAGGGTGGAGCCCCCGGGGGGCGTCCGTCCTGGGGGCCCGGCCAGCGCTGCAGCTCCTGCCACCCAGCCGGGTCCCTGGAGCGGCCCCGTCTGCTCACCTCCCCAAAGGCTGGGCCACACCAAGGGGGCCGTGCAGGCGGCGCTGGCGGACGACTTCAACACGCCGGGGGCGGTGGACGCCGTCATGGACCTGGCTCACCACGGGAACAGACAGCTGAAGGCGGCTGCTGAGGTAACTCCTGGGACGTGGCGACAGTTCTGAGGACACAGCAGATGCCACCTCGCCAGCCCCCGGGGCCACCCAGCTCCCAGAGCCTGTGGCCTCCGGGCCACCCCTGCGTGTGGCCCCGTCCTGAGCCAGGGTCAGTAGAGCTGGGGGCCGTGGGGAGGCCTGGCACGTGGACACAGGAGCTCAGGGGAGTCCGAGTTTGTCACACAGATGTGAGACGGGGAAGGAAGCCAGGTGGGGACCCCGACTGCCCCCCAGCCCTGCCCGTCCCTGGGCCCTGGCGCCAGGCTCCTCTTGGATGCCCAGGACCCTGGGACGCCCCAAAGGCCACCTGCTGCCGCCGCCACCCAGGGGCTCCTTGCCAGCACAGGCGCTCAGAGCACAGGCCCCAGCGGCGGGCGGGAGCACCAGCTTCGCAGGGCTGCGTCCGCGCCCACCGGGGCTGACCTGCCCAGGGTCGGTGCTCTTGCCTTTCAAGAGCCTTCTCTGGGTGACTTGTTGCAGGCGGCCGGTGGTCCCAGGAGCCCTGCTGTGTTCGGTGCTGTCGTGTCCTACGTGGAGCAGTTCTTTGAGACGGTGGGGATTTCTCTGGCTGAGCGACAGGTATGTCCTTCTCTCTTCAGTCCTTGATCGTGGGACTTAATCTACATGCTAACACGGTAACAGCCGCTTCTTCCCTTCAGAAACGTGGATTTTAACGGTAATTAAAGGCCAGACTTACCACGTGCTTAAGATGTGTTATGTTCCTTAAAAGGGGAACAGATGCAGAGCTGGGATTTACTAACCGAAACAGGGTTCTCAGCAGGACGAGCGTGCACCTCAGCTGCACAGTGAGTGGCGAGCCACGGATTCCGTGCGCACTTGTGTCCGGGAAAGAACCTCAAAGTGTACACGGCAGTCAGGCTGCAGGGGACACGTTTCTCTGGCGGCGTCTGAGCTGCCGGCCGGGCCCCAGCCGTCAGGGATCCCCGGGCCTGGCCCCCCTGGCCGCCCACATCCCTGTCACACGCTCCTCAGCAGAGGCCCAGTGCAGGCCTGTGGGCTGTTCGGCCACCGGGTCTCCGGTCCCCTGTGTGTGGAACGTCCCTTGGCCTTCCGTGGCCTTTTCCTGCCCTGACACCCCGGCCCCTCAGGGACTCAGCACATGTGACTCCATCCTCTGGGCCGTGATCCCCGTCTGTCCCGTGCCCGGGATGTGCACCGTGACCATGCCGCAGAGACCCTTCCTGGCGCCAGTGTGGACTCGGGTCCTCCTCCCGCTCGCAGCTGGGGGGCGGAGTGTGGAGCTGGCTGCGGTGCCACACACGGCCCCATCCCTTTGGCACATTCTTGCTTCCTGCACTGACGTTCCCAGCCCATCCGGTACCTTGTGTCGCAGGCAGGAGTCGGCCTTTCTGCCAGGAGCCTGGCTGCTCTCGGCGGGGAGGGTCTGGGCACTGGGTGCTCGCTGTGCTTGGCCACAGCTGCTCTGGCCCTAGGTGGGCAGAGCCAGCCCCCAGGATCCTGGGTCCCCTCTCCGTATCGACTGTTACCCCCGACACCTTGATTCCGGTTCCCAAAAGTCCCGGGCCACCTCCCTCCCCTCTGGGCTCCCACCTCCCAACATCACTCCCCCGCTGCCCTCCCCATGTATACCTGTCTCCCCACAGCCGCCGCCTCTCCCCTCACCCCCAACAGGCTGTCCTCTGCACAGAAGCGTCCTTGCCTGATGCCCCACGCCAGGGTCCCTCCTCCTCCAGGGGGCCCGCCTCGTTATACCTCACCTAACGAACAGCCTTAGGACTGTTGTTCAGGACCGAAAAGGAAAGGGCCATAGCTGCCACTTTCTAAAAAAGTGTGAACAGGCTGTTAACAGGGGAGCCTGGACTGCACACGGGGGGACGCCACCCCGGATCTCCCTGCGGGCCCTGCCGGGTCACCTGCTGCCGTGAGGCCTGGGCACAGCCCACACTGCCGGGCCGGGGACCTGCCAGCTGAGGCCTGGCGCCGGCTGCCCTGGCCGTGAGCGGGGATGTCTCCTAGGACTGTTTGTTAGGCTGTGAGCTTCTCTGGCGTCAACAGAAAGACTCGCGTATCTTTGCAATGATTTGTTTGATCGAGAGACACTGATTCCCTAGTGGACTGTGGCCTTCCCTGGGCGGTCCAGGGCCTGTTGGCGGCTCACACTAGGCTGAGGGGGCCAGGTCTATGCTGGGTCACCAGAAGCCCACCTCCTCCCCGAGCTGGGGCGCCCCCGGAGCCCGCTGGGGGGCTCACGTCTCTGTAACGAGCTGTCTTCTACTGTGGGAGCAGTGGCTGGGGATCACGTGAGGTTGAAAGAGTTGGACCGCTGGCCCCTCCTCCGTGGGGCGGGGGGTGGGGGTGGGGTCGGACACCTGGCAACTTGGAAGGGCTCCGGGCCCACACCAGCCCTGGAGCTGCCCCGGCCGGCACCCACACTGATGGTCCCCGGCCCCAGGGGAGAGCGCCGCGGGGCTGCACGTGTGCACGCGCCCACCCGTGCGCAGAACGTCCAGGGCCTTGAACGGTGGCTGGAGCAAGTTTGGTTTCCTTGGTCGATGAGGCCCAGGCCTGCCAGCTCTGCCCAATGACCCTCCGATGCTGCCCGTCTGCAGTGGCAGCTCCCGCTCACCAGCCTGGGCGACCGGGAGACCAGGCCCTTCGGGCGAGGTGAGGGGAGGGAGACGAGCCGCGCCCCCTGCCCCTCCCCGGCCCGGGGCCCGTCTGCTCACCCGGCGCCTGGGCAGTGTGTTTCAGGGGCCGGCGGCCCGGCCGCCCTGCACAGCGTGGTCGAGGAGCTGGTCCGCTTCCGGCAGAAGGTCCGGCAGTTCGCTCTGGCCGCGAGGGAGGCCCCCGGGGAGGCGCAGCGGCAGCTCCTGGAGAGGCGGCCCCTGCTGGAGGCCTGCGACGCGCTGCGCCGGGACCTGGCTGCCCACGGCGTCAGCATCAAGGTGAGCGCCGCCCCGCCCCCGGCTCTGCCCCTGCCCCCGCGCCCTGACTCTCACCGGCCCGTCTCCTTCCCCAGGACCGGGGCGGCGTGTCCACGTGGGAGCTGCTGGACCCGAGGACAGAAGACCCCAAACCAGGGAGCTGAGGCCACGGGATGCGGAGGCCACGGCTCCTGGCGCGGTTCTGTGCTGCCTCAAATCACGATAAAAGCTTGATGTTAACAGTTTCTGTGTGGCTGCTCAGTTAACCTTAAACCAAACTGTCACCGCCCCACGGGGCTAGTAGATGTGCTGGAGAATGGGTTTCGACGGCCACAGACGCAGTTCAGTAACGTCACGTCAGCCCACACCGTGGTCTCTGGCTCCTGAGCCCGGGGCCTGACATTGTGGGACGGCCCTGAAACCGCGAGACCAGGACGTCGGGCCCTACACGGGGTCCAGGAAGACGTCATGGGAAGGGCAGGCGGGACCCCTTCCCCGGGGTCACCTGGTCTCAAGCAGGAGAAGCGGCCTGTACCCCACATGCTGGGCAATGCTGGACTGGGCGTGGGCATACGGTTTTACATTTACTTTCCTGGTTACAAAGTAAGGTGTTAACCACAGAAAACGCCAACAGAGGAAAGCCCTGCAAGTGTCCAGCCCATTTCCTCTGAGTGATAGGCTCTGTTTCACCTCTGTTCTGTTTGACCTCTTCCTTAAACAGTTGGTTCTTGGGGTACCGTCCTCTGCTGCCTCTGAGCAGACACCACGGGGCCAGGGCTGTGCTCGAGTCTGGGTGACACGGGTGAGGGCACAGGTGTGACAGGCGGGCACGAGGCGGGCGACCTGGGACCGAGCTTGCCGGCGGCCTCGCGCTCCGTCTCCTTTCTGTCGCAGGCAGGGAGCTACAGCTGTTCAGCCAGCCAGCGGGAAGCGGGGTGACCCTCTCGCCGCTTCCCCCAGCTCTCAGCCAGGCCGCCCCATGTCCACCGCTGTGGGGCTGGCACTGATCCTGTGGGTGCGGCCCCGGGCAGCAGGCCAGCACCCGTCAGGCGCCGCGCAGATGGCCTGGCTAGCCCGGCAGCCGCCTTAACTTGGTCACTGACCTTCCTGACCCTGAAAGGCAGGGGGTTCCTGTTCTACAGATGAGGAAGCCCGTTCAGAAGCTGACCTGCTACAAGGGACCCAACCCGTGAGCAGTGGAGTCAGGATCCCAGAGGGCAGGCAGGCCCCTGACACGGGACAGGCAAGCAGGGCCGCTCAGTACTCGGGGCAGGCTGTCCGGCCGGAGCCTGAGCTGGCCGCCAGATGTGCTTTGGTGCTGGTGTCCTGGCGGAGTATCCTCAGCTGGAGCTAGAGAGCGCCCGGGTTTGCAAAGGACAAGGAGCAACTGCTCACCTCGTTCAGAAGCACGGGCCCTGAATGGTGCTTTCTCAAGCAAAGGGATTCAGGGCAGAAACACAGCGGTTCCCGTGTCGGCTGAATCTTGTCTTTTATGGAAAGAAATAGCTACGTTGCGGGCTTAGTACTTCGTTTTAACGGTACTGGTAGGCAGTGGTGAAAACCACACCATTAGACAGACGGGCTTACGTGTTTTTATCTTCCTAGTATCTGAGAATGTCCTCAGGATTAAGTTGAGAGGTGGATTCTGGCTGTTTAACAAAAAAATACAAAACTCTCCCATGAAGTAAACCAGATCTGCTTTTTAATAGAGACCATGATTTAGGCGTAATTCCCCAAAGGAAAGAATGTCCGTGACACTTAAACTCTTCTACAGTTAGATATGAAATAACAATGGTAAACATTTTAAAGGAAATCTTGAAAGTCCACGACTATTTAGAGGAAGTGGGACCTTTCTGCGGGGAGGTTTCTGACCGCAGAGCAGGAGTCCCTGGGGAAGGACAGACGGACAGGCCAGGCCCCGCCCCACAGAAGGCGGCACCAACGCCTGAGAGTACACTCAAGCACACGTGCTGTAACCAGCCCAGCAGAGATGTGACGGGAGACAGCCAGCTCTCGGGCCACAAAGAGAACTGCCCACACTGACAGCCGCGCCCAAGCTGATCTGATGCAGATGGGACAACTCACTACAGTTTCAGAGAGAACTTCTTCAGAACGTTCCTGAAGCCACACCCACTCTCGAAGCAGAGGGACCTGCCGTCCTGCTCCGTGAGCAGGCATAAAGGCAGTGTTGGTGCCCCCCACCTGGGTGCCATCTCCCGCCCGACCCTGGAGCCCCAGGCGTCCCTCCCACTCCCATGTGCTGTGCTGGGGCCTGTCAGCCAGCACCCAACTGGTGCACAGGCCAGGGGCCCAGAGGCCCTACCTGTGCACTCGGGGGTCAGGGTCCCATTCGCTTCCCTTCTGTGATCTTCCCAGCTGCCTCCAAAAGGGTTTCAGAGTTCTAACAGATTTCTCATTATTCTGAAATATTTCAACCAATTGACGAAAACAAGCAATGCTTAATATTTCTGCCCAGGTGTGTCCAACCGAATCACCGTTCAAAAAGAAACAAAAATGAGCTAAAGAATGAATGCCACATCCCTTCGAGGACCTCAGTTTAAAAAAGAAAACATCATTCATGTAGACATTTGAAAACGAGTGATGGGATCCCCCCGAGAGGACTACCGGAGGAGGGGAACTTCCCACAAACAGAAGAATCGCACAGCAAAAGCCCACGACCTCAGCTGAGCTGGTGACGGACGGTCTCGCTGTCGTGATTCTCTTCATTCTTTTCTGATATTGCCCAGAAGCTGAGAAAAGTTCAGGAATACTCTGTTTCCTATCATAACATCTCCAAGCACACAGCAGTTGAGCCAGAAAGTGCTACGTTCCAAGCTCTGACACTGTCTACGTCAACCCACACGGCACAGACTCACACACCTCCCAGCGGACTCGGATGGACCGGAGGTGGGCCCCGTCACAAACGCAGCTCCCCCGTCGGGGCCACCCCTCCGTCTGCACCAGCTGAGGTTTCGAAGAGTCTGCTGAACGCGGGCCCGAGCTCCCTGATCATGTCTGTGGCGGTGGTGGCGCGGCCGTGCTTCTGGAAGGCTTGGCGGGCACACTGCCTGGTGAGCGCGCAGGCACCAAAGGCAGCCACGAGGAGCGGGCTGGACCTGCGGGGGAGCGGTGTTAGCAGGGCGTCGTGGCCACCAAAGGCCCTCCCTGTCCCTCCTGTGGTCGCCCTGGGACCCACTCTGGCAAGTTCAGTCTAACGTGCCGCTGGGCCTATTAGAAATGCCTGTCCGCCTGGAGAAACGTTAGGATGCAGCCACGTCCCGGCTGCAAGCCAGACCGGCGCTCTGTCACAGGGTAAGTGCTCGGTGCTGTTCTAGGCCCTGGAAGACACCGGAGGCTGGGGACGAGCTGCTTGCTATGTTCCTGGACCCATCACAATCCCGCCTGCGCGCACACGCCCCGCAGGCCCCCCGGGCCAGGTGTGCCGGGACCCTGCAGCCCACCACCGTCAGGGTCGCCAGGATGGGCACAGCGAGGAGAGGCCGAGGGCCCTGAGGGGTGGGCTGCCCGGGCCCACCCTCTGCCGGCGACGGCAGACCCCACCGCTCAGGGCGCTGCACCCCGTGGACAGTCATATCCCGGCACACGCTCTGCCCCTGCTTGCGTGTCCCCCGAGGCACCGGTCCCGCAGAGCATGCGCCGCAGACCCCCGAGCAGCACCCCCGACACCAGCAGGGACACCAGAGGCCCCGGGTGAGCGTCCTGGGACCAACCCCTGCCCTGGGGGCTCTTCTTCCAGCAGACACCGGCCCCTCAGCGGAATGTTCCAAGCAGCCACTTATTAAACGTGCAACTGCTGCAACAGCACGGGAGGAACAAAGATGTGACTCACCCATTGGTCTTCTCGGGGCCAGCCAGGAGGGCCCAGTGCACCAGGACGCTCAGGGAGCCCGACAGGAGGTCCCCCTGCCCGCCACACCTGCGGCTGCTGCCCTCCCGGCTGCACGTGAGCGCTGCGGGGCGAGGGGGCCGTGTGAGAGGGGCCGTGCTCCATCACCTTGCCCCCCGCCCCCCCGGCCGTCCTGACACGGCAGGCAGAGGCCCAGCTCCCCCAACCAGCACCGAGGGGTCTGTGGGGACAGGGTGGGGACGGTGCCCCTGGCCCAGGGCGCCCGCAGCGGCCCTGCTGGGACTTCGTCTGTGCCGTGCCGGGAAGTTTCTATCTCTTGGGAAAACGTCTTAACCAGCTGCTACGCTCTCTCTGTGTTAGAGTCTAGAGCACCTTCCAGCGTCTGACTCACGGGCTTCAGGGCCACGCAGAGGAGGCTCTCTGCGTCTCCTGTCCAGCGCGTGACAGCGAGCGTGTGTGTGTGATGGCATGTGTGAGCGTGCACACTCCTTCCTGGGCACCGGTTCCGTGTGTACAGCTCCCTCATCAACGCCTGGCGGGCTCTTGCCTCCGGGGCAGACTTCAGCAACAGGAGGACTCGTCTGCAGGGAGCAGAGGTGTCACGCACCGAACCCCGGTGCGGATGCGGGCGGGCCTGCTGGGCTCTGCAGCCACGCTCGGGGCCCAGGGGCTCCCGCCCCACCGGCAGCTCCTTGGGTGTCTCCGTTTTCCGGGCGTTTTTATAAAACAACAGGAAGCAGTGAAAACTCAAGCAACTGCATCTGGGCCTCAGGTGAGGCGGCAACGGGCCTGCAGGGTTGCCCGCTGCCCAGAGCCTCTGCTTGGGGCTCTCCTTGCACAGCACGGACAAAACTGCACCCTGTACCTGGTGTCGACCAGGACCAGCATGCATCACTGCCACATCCCGTTGCAAAACAGCGAGAAACAAGACAAAAATGGCCTTTCCAGAAGCTGTGGTTGACATGCTCACCAGGGAGTCCCTCTCTGGGGGGTAAGTGTGCATGTGTGCCCGTGTGTGACCGACCGTGTGTGAACAGGAGGTCCTCCTGGGGCTGGTGCCCAGCATGGCTGGCCGACACGTGGCGTGAAGCCCTCGGCCACTCACCCTGCCCGCCATCAGAGATCACGTCCTGCTCCCCTTTCTGGACCACGGTGACGTTGCCCAGGGCCTGGCTGAGTCTCTGCACAGATCTGTAGCGGTCCCTGCCATCCAGGGGGTCTCCCAGCTACGACGGAGGACAACACACAGACACAGCTGTCATCAGACACGGAAAGAGCCCATCCACCCTGACCCCGCCTCATGCGGGGAAGGGCCCGCTGGTCACCTGCCGACGGCCGAGCTCGGGCCCCACGTGCAGAGACGTTTCCGTCCACCAGCGGGAGGGAGACCCAGAGTCAGGACTACTGGCCCATGGCCGGGATTGTAAAGGTTTGCGAGGGATGCGACTTCGAGCAAACATTTACGGCACTAATACGTGAGGACGCTGGGCTTACATACACAGCTGACCCTCGAACAACGCTGGTGTGAACCACGAGGTCCCACTTACATGTGGATGTTTCCCATAGTACATACCACAGCCCTACACAATCTGAGGTTGGCTGAATCCACGGATGCGGGACCGAGGACACGGGGAACCGCGTACCCGGAGGGCCGACTGTGGATCACACTCGGAATTTTGACAGCGTGCAGCCTTCAGCGCCCCTAACCCCCGCTGTTCAAGGGTCAGCTGTATTATTTTATTTCGTCCTCACAAACCCTAGGACGCAGATTCCATCATGCTCCACACTTTACAGAGGCAGGGGCAGGGATGGAACGATCCGCCCAGGGTGCACGGTGGCAGGAGGGCGGGCTGACCCCAGAGGCCACCTTTCATCCAAACGAAGACACGCTAACTGGAAGATGCCCCATCATTGCACGCACCCGGGAGCGCACCTGTCCACCCACCTCTGCACGTCTGTCCCCGCAGGTGCACCGCAGGACGAGTCCCTCACCCCTGCCTGGGACGTCGGCTGACTCACCACAGCCTCGGCGAGTCTGCTGAACTCCACGTGGTTGGGGGTGAGAACCGCCTTCTGGTAGCCTTGGATGAGGGCCGGCTGCTGAGCGACCAGCCACAGCCCGTCCTGCAGATGAGGACTCACGTCACTGCGAGGCCGCGGGGTCCCCTGGGAGGAGGGGACGGGAGAGGAGGCCACACTCACCGCGTCGATGACGATGGGGATGCCCCTGGTCTTGGACGCTTCTAAAATGCCCTGCGAGGAAAGGAAGCCAGGCTGAGCAACAAGCCTGTCACCTCTCAGAGAGGGTAAAAGAAACCGAGCAGTTCCTGACGGACTTCAACATCAGGCCATCAACCAACAGACAGGAAACAAGAAAGCAAACGCATAAAATAATCAGAAAAGAGACTTTGTAAGGCAGGGCCCTGGGAACTCTGAAAACAGGAGCCCACGGGAACCGTCACGCAGTGCTGGGTCCCAGGCCAGCCCACGAAGGACAACCCTGAGCCGGCACCTCCAAATTTCCAACAGATACTAGCCCTCAGGATTTGGAGCTGAGAGACCTGAAGTCTCGGGAATTCCCCAACTCCTTAGTTTTTATCTATTTCTCTTAAGTAACACTTCACGTGTTTTCACATGAATGACTGCAGTAATGAACAGTGCAGCACTTCTCTCTGATGCTACACTAAAAGTTGGAGGTTTTTCGCTTGAGAATTATGTGTGTGTCTGATCAACACGACTGCTGACTATTACGCACCAGTATTTCATGACAAGGGCGTTTACGGCAACAGCATGAGAAGAGGGCTTCTACCCGACAGACACTGGCTAACAGAAAACGTTAGAAGAGGACAGTGAACGAGATGCATGACAAGCAGGGATAATTTAAAACACTGGGAGATAAGCCCACGTCCGTAAAGTAGCACTGAGGAGTGCAACCTCACCCAGCATAGCTGCCCTGCCCGACGGCTTCAGTCGCACCTGCCGACGCCGGTCTGCGTGCTGGGAGTGTGCCCAAAAGCCCCTTCAGTGGAGGGTCAGGGTACAGGGCCCACGGAAGGCTCTCTCCTTAAACAGTGGAAATGCTCTGTCTGCTTGCCCCGAGTCAGGCGTTACTGTTAGAACCAATTCAGGTTTTCTGAGTCTTTGTACTTTCCTACTAGAGCCCCAGTGAATGTTCAGACCCGGGAAACGTGAGCCGACACCACGGAGAGCACATTAGTAACATCGCACAATGTGACACTCGGCCTCCTGACGCAGAGAACGGAGGGCTGGTCTTGCTTCCATGGCTCAGAGGGCCTGTGCGCTTGACGCTGTCACAGTCATGGCATCTGGAGGGTCAGCGCCACCAGCACGTGCCGTGACGAGGCAGCAAGCCCCGCACACACACACATCCGGACAGCAACCTGACCTAAGGGAAGAATGGGCAAACGCAGGAGCCAGCCACACACAGGTCAGGAGGGCTAACGTGCAACAGGGAGCTTTCTACACACGAGGAGGGGGAGTGAGGAGTGGCAGCTCCCCAGAGCACATCCTGGGAAGGGCAGCCCTTGCTGGAGAGCAAACTGCTACAAGCTTCTGGAGAAATCTGGGAGCATCTCTCAAAAACGTTTCAGTTTCACACTGTGTGGCTGGACCCCACTGACCCCACTCTGTTAGCTCCATCTCAGGCCTGCAGCCCTGCCCCTTCCCCTCCCTGCGTGAGTGACTGAGCTTTACCCCACTCGCCAGGAATGCACCCAAGCCGGACAAGTTCCCTATCGACTTGACCATCTTTCTCTGATATGAAAACTGGAGGAGTGCCTCTGCAGAGAGCCCCCCGGGGGGCAGGGGAGAAATAAAGTCCAGTTCCCATCAGTGCAGACATGCGTCTCACTTGGGGGTCAGATTCTTTCTTCAGAAATCCCCTCGGACCTTTTCCGTGCAGCTAGGGACACCTGGGTCATCTTCCACCCGATCCTGCCTGTATGTCAGTCCCCACGTAAACTTCAAAACTGCACTTCACTCAGTTGCCTGCTTTGTTTTTCGGTCTTAAAAGTTCCTTCTCAGTTCAGAGGATGTTATTCAGTATCTCCACCTTCCACAGATACTCTTTGATTCAGCAGTGGAACTTCTACAAACTTATCCTAAAGAAAACACCCAAAAGAAACAAATAGATATACAGAAATCTTCAAGGCATCACTAATAGAAAAAAATGCTGTAAACAGCCGAAATGAACTAGTTAAATACATTACAGCATATTACGATGAGGCTGTAAAAAATAATGAACATATGCATATCCCGCCAGGAAGAGCCTCCAAGACACATCCATCCATCCAGGAAAACAACAGGCTGCCAAAGAGCACAGACACTAGGCGGGTCCGTCAAGATCCTACAGCCACAAACTCTGGCTCAAAACCAGCTTATGAACTGGAAGACTCAATATCGTTAAGACAGCAGTGATCCCCAAATTGACCTAGAGGTTCAAGGTGACCCCTACCCAAATCCCAGCTGTCCATTCTGCAACTGACAAGCTGATCCTAAAACTCATGGAAACTCACGGGACCCAGAATAGCCAAAACAACGCTGGAAAGAAGAAAGTTGGAGGACCCACACTTCGCAATTTCAGAACTTACTGCACAGATACAATAATCAAGATAATGTGGTTACTGGCACGAGGACAGCTGTACAATCGATGGCACAGAAAGGAGAGCCCAGAAATCAATCCTCACACTGATGTCAACTGACTTTCAACAAGGATGCCCAGAGAATTCACTGGCCCGAAGAAGTACTGGGACAACTGGATATAAAACTGGACTGAACCCCTTCCTTAACACCATACACAAAACTTAACTCAAAAGGGACCACAGAGCTAAAAGAATAAAGCTCTTAAGAGAAAACATAGGAGTAAATATTGCGTCAGGCAAAAACCTTAGATAAGACACCAAACGGACGTGTCGTATGATCCAGCTTCTCCAGTCTAGGTATATAACCCACAGAAATAAAAACATAAATCCACAAAAAACCTTGTAAATGAGTGCTCACAGCAGCACTATTTGTAATAGCCAAGAAGTGTAAACAACCCAAATGTCCATCAGTTGACGAATGGATTTTAAAAACGCGGTCTCTCCATACCACGGCCTATCACACAGCAACGGAAGGCGTGAAGCGCTGACAACCTGCCACAACAGGGTGAGCCCTGAAATTACAAATACCACACACCGTATGATGCTGTTCCTACGAAGGTCCAGAATAGGCCAATCCATCGAGACAGAGAGTAGATTAGTGGTCGCCAGGGGTGGAGGCTGGGAGGAACGGGGAGCAAGTGCTAACGGGTGTGGGGCTTCTTTCTGGGGTGAGGAAAACGTCCTCAAGCGGACTGTGGTGATGGCTGCAAACTCCGTAAATATACTAGAAGCCACTGAATTGTACACTTTAAATTCGTCCATGAATGCGGCAAAGGTTACTGCCACAGCCACCCCAGCCTTCAGCAGACGCCAGCGTGGAGGCAAGAGCCTCCACCAGCAAAACAGCGATGTCTCACTGGAGGCTCAGATGGCGGTCGGCGCTTTTCAGTCACAAAGTACTTGTAAATTAAAGTACCTACACTGTTTTTAGATATGATGCTATTGTACACGTAATAGACTACAGTATAACACAAACGTAACTTTATCTCCACTGGGAAACCAAAAAATTCACGTGACCGGCCTTATGACGAGAATTCGCTTTATTGCAGTGGTCCGGAACCGAACCCCCAGTACCTCCAAGGTGAGCCCGTGCAGAAGTATAGTGAAATAATCACCAGTCCAGCTAACCCACACAGCCATCACCTCCCTGGGGGAGAACGTAACCTCTCCCCACTGCCCTGACGCCCCGCGCCCGGCAGCCACCCTTCTCCTCTCTGCTTCTCCGAGCTCACCTATTCTGACTCCACACAGAAGTGAGATCGCGCAGCGTTTGTGCTGCTGCCCGTTTCACTTAGCATCTCGTCCTACAGAGGGTACATATGTTTTAACCAAACCGTTTGAAACAGGCAATAATAAACGGACCAACTACCGACACTAAAGTTGAAAACACACTTCCTGCTCCATTCCATCCCCAGTCACCTGTCACGGCTACTGTTTCTCCTCAGTGATCATTCATGGGCTTGAAGAAAGTGAAATTTCCAGCCCCAACTTTAACCCCAAAGGCTGGAAAGATTTTCCGTGGAAGGGACCCTTAAAATTCACGTTCTCACTAAATTCTGGTAAAGCAAACACACGTCTGCCTTTTAAAATGTTCTTTACCCACAGACTGCTAGGAAAGTCCAACCAACACTCACAGCGCCCTACACCTTCTTTCCCTTGAGCTTTTGTTCAGTTTAACTCAAAAAGCAGAAGCTGAGCCAGGAGCCCCTCCAGCTGCTGAAGCAAGCGGCAAATCAGGGTCACCATGACCGCTAGCCCCCTCGAGGCACGCGGCCGACACCTCCCAGGGCTGGAGCTGGGGCAGGTGGTCTGGGGCACTGAGAAGGGCCCCAACGAGGGCAGGGAGAGCTCAGCAGGTCCCTGAAATGTGTCCCCTCGGAGAGTGACACCGGGGCAGTGTCGGAGGACCTGGGCAGCGGGAACACACAGAATGTGGGGTTGGTGTGCCATCCGAGCTATTTCCCCTGATCCAGGATAGCACTTATTTCTATTTCAACATTTTGAGGCTAAAAAATTAGTTTCATCTTCTTAGATTAAAGCAGGCATAAAGTTTCAGTAGTAAGGAAGAGCATAAATGATCCAATGAAAAAGTAAACGAATGCACGTGTACCCACGAGGGTGAACTAGGGTCTCCTGCCCGCTCCCCCATCACCCAGCGCCGGCTACGCTGGCTTTAGCTGAAAAGGACGGCAGGGGACAGAAGAGAGTGCAAAGGCAGCAGAACAACTGGCCCGTGGGGTCCGAGGCCCAGGGATTTCTAGACCAATGAGGACCTCAGGTGGTCAGAGGAGCACCAGGTTAAGAAATTAAACTAACAAGGGCTTTCAGGAGGACCCGCTGACGACACAAAGCTAGAAGCACCAGAACACCTTTCACGTTTCTCTCTTAAGTGCACAGCTCACAGCAACGGTGAAGTCACCAGCAGCACCCTCTCCCACTGGCTCGCTGTGACAGACTCCCACTGGGCCCAGCCGGGCACCGTGCAGAGCGCTGCACAAAGCGTGGCCCTCGGCCAGCCCCGGGGGGCACTGCGCCCTTACAGCGGGCACCAGGAGCAGGCTGCCAGGGGTCCCCAGCAGGAAGGGGTCGCGGGGAGGCGACTGCGAGCCTGAGCGCACGCCCGGACACTGCTAACCCCGCTCAGCCCGGATGCTGGGACTCTGGTCACGTCGGGCCCCATGGAGACTTCCTCGGCCACAGCCTGAGACCAGAGCCCCGGGAGCGAAAGAGGGCGCCGTTCAGCGGTGCCCTGCTCTGGTTTAAGCACATCCCTACCTTTACGCCTAGTGTCTCCTCTATTCCCCAGACCACGTTCTATCGGTCTCAACTCCTCCTCCAAGACGCACACAGAGCAACAAACAACGGAAAGTGCAATTCCGTCAGACTCCCCCGATCTAAGGGCCGAGCCTGTGGGAATAGGCATGGTTAATAATTCTACACGTTACCTTGACGTTTTCGAGAAGAACGTCGTCTCTGCCTAAGCCAGGCCCTACGACCAGGGCGTGCAGTCGGGGCAACCACTTTTCCACATCTTGGACGGCACTGGGGCTGTCACTACAAAAGGAAAAGAAGGGCAAAAGAGCTTGCAATTTTCATCTTTTGTTTACTTTATTAATGAAACTACAGATTTTTCCAGATTTTCCCCCAATGTCCTTTTCTTGCTCCAGGACCCCAGCCAGGACCCCACCATAGTTGTTTAGCTTTCAACATTCAGATGCCCCTGAAAGCATTCTGCTAAGTGAAATGAGCCCAAGAAACACAAATAGCGTATGCAAACAAACAAAACAAAAAAACCGCAAAAAGACAACACCAAACTCACCCATAGAGAAGAGACTGCCGGTTGCCAGCAGCTGGTGGGGTTGGTGGGGGGGACTTCTGGGTTTTGTTTTTGTTTGTTAAAGAGCAACAGAGCACTGACACGTGCTACATTGTGGACAACTCTCGAAAACAGGATGCTAAGTAAGAGAAGGCAGACACAAGACCTCACAAATGTCTGATCCCATGCATAAGAAATGTTCAGAAAAGGCAAATGTTTGGAAACCAAGCAGATGAGAGGTCGCCTCGGGCTGGGGTGGCGATGGGGAGGGGCTTCCGTCCTGGAGTGGTGGGAGCGTTCTAAGATTATGTGACGTAACAACCTGGCAAGCATACCACAAACCACTGTACTAAAGTCAGTGGATTTTATAGTGAATCACATCCCAGTAAAGCAGTTCCCTACACACACATTAGCAACAGCCCCGGGAGCAATAGTGGAGAGAGACACTAATACCCAAGGACTGATGGGGGGTCAGAGGCGGCTGCAGGGAGGAGGGGTATTGGGTCAGTGGGTGGAGTTTCAAAGGAGCTGGAGGTTTTGGAACAAGAGGTGATGGTCCGGGAGGACGCACGTCCCACCTCCAGACCCAGTGGCCGGGGGAACAAAGGAAAAGCCACCTCCACTTAGGAGGCTCGCAGGGGAAGCCGCCCCCTCTGGGGACAAGCAGACAAGAGAAGGAGGGAGCAGCAGGGGCAGGAAACATGGCGAGAAAGCGCTGTTTTACAGGAAACGACAAAGAGCATGATGTGTGGCGTGATGTGAAGGCAGCATACTCTTGGGGATGAAACTCAAGCACGGAGCCTCTCACTTGCTGGGCCCCTTCCCAGGCCCCGGGAGGGACCCCAGTTTACTCGAGTGGTCCACATGTTTCTGTGAACTCCGCAAAGGTAGGCAGAGGATCTGGGTCTCACCAAAGCTGAGGCAAATGGAACTTCCTTCCCATCAGAAAGAGAGTCAATAATGCAGGGTATATAGTCATGATCATACTACACTTTCTTTTTCTTTTTTTAAAATTAAGACTCACAGGGGAAAAAGTACATAAAACACGTTAAAATAAGACACGATGACTCATTTCAAAATGACCTGTGCCAGTCTGGTTCCATCACACAGGCGCACAGATGCAGTGCAGGCTGCACTCCTACCTGTGGTGCAGACGTCCCCACCTCAGGCCTGCGGGGAGGCGTGTGCCCGGCGGCGCCCCGACCCCCCGTGACATCAGGAGCCCTCCTTAAGCCCAGACCTGATGGCTGCGCGCGACTCTGAGGCCCAGCCGCCACTCTCAGGGCCCACAGGCTACCAGACGGCCCGGCCCGCCCCCCAGCAGCCCCGCTCGGGCTGCCGGCGACCCCGCACTGGGGACCCCACACTGGGAGCCGAGGCCTCGTGTCCGGCTCCAGGCACGGGCTCTTCCAGGACCATCCGCAAAGCTCTCCACTCGGCCCCAGGACGCCCTCCAGGCCCCTCCAGTCTGCTCCCAGCCGCCAGCGCGCCGGGCCCTCCCGGCCCACACACAGCTTCGCCTCCTGGTTTAAACGCAGCCCACGCGCTGACAACTCCCAGATCTAGGCTCCCCTGCCCACCCCACGGCCGCCGGCACATCAGCAGGCCACGGAGATGACAACCTGCTCAGCCCACACCCTGGTGGCTTCCCCACACTCCTGCCGGGTCTCACAGCCCGCCCGCGGGAGGGCGGGGCTGCACTCCCCTGCTGTGGCCAGGCTCTGACCCGCTCCTGTCTCTAGCCCAGCACGCAAGCATCCCCAGGGGCTTACCACAGCCTCCCAGCGGGACCCCTGCTTCCGCCCTGGGCCCCAAGGGCCAGAACCCTTACTATGACCCCCACGACCAGCAAAGTGTGGCCCTGAACCTCTCTGGTCACCCAGCCCCTCCCAAGCACCCCAGACTAAGTGTCCCCAGCAGGCCTGCAGCATGAGCTCCCACGCCCGCTCCCCCCCAGTCCCCGTGTCTGCGCCTTCACTGGATGCCACGCCCTGCGCCACCGCCCACGGCGACCCTAGGAGCACCCACCACACACACACGCGTGCACCCAGCACTCCCCGCCCCGTCCTCCCTGCGGTCCTTAGCACCGCCTGACAAGCTGTTACCTCGTTTGTCCTCCAAAGCTGTGTACATGGCCCAATACAGTAGACGCTGACCACGCGGGGCTTTTACATGTAATTAAAATCAAAGTAAAAACTCAGCTCCCGAGTCCCACTGGCCGCGTTTCAAGCTCTCAGCAGCCACAGTCTCGCACAGCACCGAGAGAAAAGCTTCACCGTTGCAGAAAGTTCCAGGGCACAGGGCTGCCCTGGAGAGGAAGGTGCACGGGAGCAGGTCTTGGGCTGCCCAGTCAGATGCTGTCCCCGCGGAACCCAGGACAGAGTCCAGTAAGCGCTTGCTGAACGATCGAACGGTCATTACTGCTGCCACGTGAGACACTGTCACAGGCAGGCCCACGGCTCCTCCTGGGCCTAGGACCCTCCGGCCATTGCCGACGGGCCACAGGGGACAGCCCGGGCAGCCCTGGTGCCCAGGTCTCCTGCACACTGTCTGTCTTATTCGGACTACAGACGCGGGTTCATTATCGTTCCCTCGCTTCTTCCGACAGCACCCTCCCACCTGCCCCCTCCCCGCACCGCGGCTACTGCACAGCGGCTCCACGAAGGCGCAGAGACCCTGTGACCCAGGAGAGTGGCTACAAGCCCCGCGCCCGCCGGGGCCCCACTACTCACAGAACCGGGTGAACGATCAGCTCCGGGCTGTATGACTTGATCACAGGCGCAGCATCCTGGGTGGTGAACACATGGGACAAGTCCGCGCCCTGAGGAGGAGCACAGGAGGCCGGCTTAACGCGGGATTCGCCCGACAGACACTCAAGAGCACTGGTGGCTCTGGTACAACCGTGCGAATTCCGCAGCACTGTCCACAAAAGAAAAGCACCCACTGCCGCAGGTAACCCACAGCCAGGAGGCGGCTGAGAGGCCTCCGGCCGGCGGCAAAACCTAAGAAAGGCCTGGAAAGAGAGGCGGGCTTCTGCTGCCGCCAAAGAGGCAGGTGGCCCCGCTGGCTCAGGTGGCATCACGATGAGGTCCGCAGAAGCAGAGCCCATGTCACAGTCCCTATGCCACTGGGCCTCCAGGACTTGATCAAAACGCTGCCGTGACAACTGCCAAGGTTAAAAGAGGTCCACTGCTTATGCTAGGACCGAAAAGGCAGCCTGGATCACTGCGGTGAAGTACAGTTCTAAAAAGAGTTTAGCTTAAAAGAAAATGAGTCCCAATCCAAGTTACTTTGTGGCTGCACAAGAGGTCAGGGTAGATTTAAAGGTACGTCTCTTACCACAATTACCCAAAATGTTATTCAGATTTCTCTGAATATTGAGAGACTACTCAGAAAACATTTGCTTCAGTCATATTTAAATAATCCAACCCTTTACTAGAAAAATCCTGAAAAAGAAGCTATGAACAAACATACCACTTTGAGAGCTGAGATTGCTGCAAAATAGGGGGCTCCAGTGTACCTAAAAAGAAGACATTTACAGTCAAAAACATCTGAGAATGAGGCAAGCACACCAGGCTTATCAGTAAATTACACAGACACGCAGCACCTGGGCACGGCCCAACCCCCGGTAGAAGCTCAGGAAAAGGGTTATTAACACGGATCAGTCCCAGGAAAGTCAATCTTTCCTACGAGGCTCTGAACCATGTCAGGAGAGGCAGGTCCTGGCCAGGTGCCCCAAGGTCTCTCTGAAATGCATATGTGCAAACTGAAGCCTTGACGGATGGCTTCAGGGGGCCGTACAGAGGTCAAACTTATCGAATTGTACATTTATAACATTTGCAGCTTGCCGTATACCAACGAGACCTCAATAAAGCTGTTAAAAAATGAATCTCCTAGTGTACAATGGTTCGGCAAGATTTACATCAACTGGAATAAAATGGTTATTTTCTATACCAGGAATAACTGATTAGAATATGATAGCATCTACCATACCAGCAAAAATCATAAAGCATCTAGGAATTAACCTTATAAAACACATGATAACTCTGTGGGGACATTTTAAAAACCTATTAAAGAACAGAAGAGATGTACACTTGATGAGAGGACTTAATATTATAAAGACGACACCTCTCTCTAGACTAATATAGACACAGAAAGCACTTGATTTATCAGAAATGCACACAGACACAAGTAAGAGAAGATGCAACACCAACCGAACAAGACTGGGGTTCTGTTAGCAAGGATGGTAGGGATGTGTGTTAGGGGAAAAAACAAAGCAAAACACAACAAAACCTGGAGGTCTGAGAAGACAGGGAGAGTTTCCCAAAGGCACTGCAGAGAGAGACAGTGTGCTCGAGGTGACCACAGGCCGGAGCCCCTGGACTGGCTGGCACCCCAAGGAGCAGGACCCACCCCCGAGAGCAACGGTGAGCAGAGCCAGCGGTCACCTCGGACATGGAGACAAACGAGAAGAGACTCGCACGCCTCCCTCCTGCTTCCACCCGCTTGCTCGGAAACGCCTGTAACTGTGCTTAAGGGCACTTCACGCACAGCAGGAAAATCCGTGAACGTGACATCAGATGAGCGACGGTAACTGTTACGTCAATCCCAGGGGTGAAGAAGAGCTTTGCTAACCCGAACAGGGAAACGCGCTCAGGGCACGCTGCATGTGTGACAGTCTCCCCAGGGCAGAGCCACGAACTCGCCCGAAATGCCAAAGGACAGGACAGCGGACATACACACTCACCCCACAGTGTGAATACAAGCCTCGCTAACAAAAGAAATACATCCCCCTCACTTAGCAAGAGCAGTCACTGTCATGTTGGGTAAAGAAACACAATCTAGCTACATGTTATTTTAATAAATACAGCCAACTACATGCTAAACCGTTGAAAAGAAAGACAAGGCTAGGCAAAGAGCGTATCAGTGCAAACAGAAAGGAAGCAGAAACTGAACGGTAACCAAGGTCGAATTAAGTCAAAGGCAGCAGGTATCACAGGCAAGGACAAATTCCCAATCTTTATGTGTCGACACAGCAGCACAATACATAGAGCTAGAAGAGAAAGAAGGCCTCAGAAGAAAGCTGGATCTGTCAGGCGTCACGAGGAGCCTCCGGGAGTATCTCTGAACTAAGAAAGGAAAGCAAGCAGATGCTGGCCGTCTGCCCTGGCTACAAAGCAACCACGGCTCACAGCGACGAACCCGCCAGTACAGAGCACAAAGGAAGCAGCAGCCTCACCCGCTCGGCGCCCCATGCTTTCTCTGCTGCTCAATCAAACGTTCATCACTGAAAACTACTGCCGGAATATCAGAGGACACCTGGAAATGACCCCTGGGGTCCAACTGGACGGACGGAGGGACGACAGGTAGGCGACAGCCAGAGAAGGACGCTGTGTCCACGCAACTTACTCTGGGCAGCCTCCCACCACGCCTATCCTCCCAGCTTGCCCTTTGTGCTTCCAGGCGGCCAGAGGAGGCACCACATTCCTCACCAGCTGCAAAGCAGCCTCCATGTCCGTTACTGAGCGTGCTGTATGCAGTGGAAATGCTTGATTTAAAACTGAAAAACAGGAAAATGTTCAGAAAGGTAAGTGTCTACCAGCATACATCAAAAACAGACTTGAACAAAATACCCCATTAATCAAAACACCTCCCAAAGCTGGCTTAATATGAATGCTGTAGATTTTTATCCAATGGTTTCATCATTTCATTTCTATAAGCAAATGCTGTTCAGAAGTAACAACACAACGCTACCAATACTGTTGCATGGACCAGATTTACTTCGAATGCATCAGACGTCTTGGAAGTCTACTTAAGCTTTCAGAAAGTTTTTTTTAACGCACTGTTACTCAATGAACTACACATATTTCATCGTAATCTTCCTTCAAGTTTATTAGGTCTCTTCTCCCCCTTGCTACTTTCCACAGTCTATTCAAGCCAGACAGGTGGTTCATGTTATTCCCAATTCATTTTCCAGTCGTGGTTCCAACACTCAATTAGATAATCAATAGCCTGGAAATGGCGTCCTAAAGAAGGAACACATCTTACACTGGGTTCAAAGTGGCATTTTAAAATAGTTTGATCATTGAATTGTCTATAAATAGCTAATTTTAATTGGCCTTTCTTGAAAAACTTCCTATGTTGTATGTTTTGCCATTTATTAAAAACAGCTCAGCTGTGAGAGAAATCCTGTGTTCTGTAGAGCCCAATGTATGAATAGATAATAAAGCATGCATTTTCTCTAGAATTAAAGGATCTTTGCTGATACGAACAACATTTTCACAAAAAAGGCATCCAATATTTTTATCTTCCCATTATCTCAGCAGCAGAGGAAAACCAGACGTGGGTCACAAGTCCAAGTGAAGAACAGAGACTGACTCAGCTCCATACATGTGGTAAAAGAGCTTTATCTTCTATCACTCTTACAATTTTACTTTTCACTCAACGACGTTATTCACGTAATTTTCCTTAATGAGTAGATGTAAATAAATGCCTCCTTAGCCAATATATCAGATGGATGCTTAGACCCAAGATGTAAAAAGAATATTAATTACCATCCATCCAAACGCCTTCCTACCTTCTTCCAAATCAACACAGGATTAAAACTCCAAACAGAATCGCCGTAACCCTAACCCTTTGGCCGTGAAAAGGCACAAGGCTTGCTCAACCATCAGTCCAGCCCCCGACGCCTCTGCCCCGGGCCAACCTGACAGAGCCAGGCCACAGAGGCGCTGACCTAACAGAGCAATCAGCTCTCACTCCCCGCCCCCGGCCCCCACCTCCTGCACGCCCGCCTGCACCCCAGACTCCCAGCCACGCACTCTCTTTGCCACCGTGCGCAGCGGCCCTGAGACACTCTTGCCTAGGCTCCCTGGCCAGCTGCAGGACAGGAACCACAGCTGTTACAGGTGGATTTCAGGACGGCCCTGCTGACTGCTGACGAGCCGTCTGTGCGCTTACCGTGGTGCTTGCCATTCATCTGTGTCAAACTTGAACACACCTAGCATAAGGTGACTGGTCAATGCGAGGATATCAGAGAATGGTCTCTCCTCCAAATGCCCCAGAACAATAAATACAGGTGCTTTTTAAAGTCTGGAAATTGTAAAGACAGAATCCAAACTCACCAGTCACTCACGGATCGTTCTGAGTCCCTTACAATGTTTTGGGTTTATTAGCTGCCATCACTTTAAGCAGCTAGCCACACACAGAGCGTCCCAGGACCACCCCTGCACCTTCTGCCTCCACAGAATGAGGCATAGCCCCACCTGTGACTCAAGGGCTGGACTCCCACCCTCAACCACTTGGAACAGAGTCTGGCACAGAATAAGCCACTCAATAAATGCCTGATGAATTAACGGCATCTTGCCTCACTCTCCTCATTGGGAGCCAGTTTATCCTTCTTTTACAGACAAGGAAACTGAGGCTCAGAGACAGACCTGTGAAGATGCTATGGTTACGAACGGATAAGCCAGGGCAGAAGACACCATTTTACCAAAATGCTGCCATTTTCAGGCAGAAAAGTTTTTTTTTTTTTATCAAATAATCACGCCACCAACCAAAAGACAAGTCAAATCCTTCTCAAATGCCTTCTGAAACCAATTTGGGATGGGTAAAAAACACCACTGTTGAGAAGTACAGCGTTTTCACTTTTTAACTGCAATGGTATGACTGCAAAGCACAATCCACCCTGCTCATTAGGGTTTTGTAACACTCACCTGAGATCAACACCTGTCAGTGAGAGGGCCAAAGGAAGGTCAGTTCAACTTCCCTATACTCCACAGAGAATCAAGTTTCAGCTGGCTTACTGACATGCACTGTTTGGACTTATCCACAGAAATATTGAAATACAAACATCAAAGTTTTTAAGGATAAAAAGGCCTTGGCAAGAGGCAACTTGAAATTTATCCTAGTAAGTAATTTGTCTTCATACAATTCTGAATCTAGAAGAACAGGCCATACCCGTCTGGTTTTGTTTGCTTTAAAGTGTGGCTGAGGAGAGCTAAATAGATTTCTTTATTCTGGGTTGTTTTCTAGAATTACTTGCCACTCACAACTTTGCAATACCAATGTTTCTTGCTTTAATTTAACGTGAACCGTAGCTAATTTGGAACATGTGACAGCAAGCTGTAAATTAACTGAGATGCCCTAAAGCTGGGATGGGAAGCCAGTTTTTGGTAAAAGCTCCGCAGCTCGGCCTAATAATGAAATCTCAAGCCGACTCAAAGAGAAATCTTGCTAACCAATCACGGAGTGTACGAATTTAAGACCAACTGCGACAGATAAAGTATCTCCGAACAAACTGGTGCCCAAAAGCGCCTGGGCTGGTGTGACTGAGTGAAGTGCAGAAGCTGAGGGGCCCCTCGATGCTCCTCAAATCTCCTGAAGCTACGGTGCCCAAAACCAAACAGCCAAACCCCCCTAACAGTTACTCTCTGTCCTGCCTGCTGCTAAGGACTACAGCCAAAGCGCGTTTTACCATTTCAGCTACTTTCTGGCTGGGAACCTTGGCTCAGGGCCTCTTTCCTTACAAAACAGCAGCCTCTCCACGTTGCTGGGAGAAGTGAGATAATACAACACACTGTCCAGCGGTTTGAAAACTCTTAGGTACAATAATATCCGCAGGGCAAGAGAGGAAAACCATACAGGAGGGGATGGTGCTCCAAGCCGGACGCACTTGTCCCGTTTACGCCTCATTCTTTCTACACAGTCCGCTCTATTCAGCAGCCAAGGCCTGGCCGGGGTCCTCGGGGTCCCTCGGTTAACCCCTCCCCAGGTGGACCCAGGACCCGCGGCTCCGCGCGACCCCGGCCCCACGGCGGCGCCTCCCGCCCGGACGAGTAGCCCGCGGCCGAGTACCTGCGTCCAGCGGCGGCCCGTAGAGCACGAGCGCGGCCGAGAGCACCGCGACAACGGCGGCGCCGGCAACCGCAGCCCCGGCCCCCGCCCGGCTGGCCATGGCCGGGAAGGCCGGTATCGGTCTTACCTCCCAGGAAGCCCCTGACGACCCCGCAGCCGGAACTCACAGCCATCCGCGGACTTCCGGTCTCCCAGCCGCCCCCGCGCGGCCGCGAGACTCACCCCCTCGGCGGACTTCCGGTATCCCGGCGGCCCCCGCGCGGCCGCGGGACTCCCCTCCCTCGACGGACTTCCGGGCTCCCGGCCGCCCCCGCGCCGCCGCCGGAAGCGGGCGGCCGACTCCCAGTGGTCAGAGGTTTGGAGTCGCCCCGCCCTCGGACGGCCCTCTGCCGGTCAAAGGCGGCCGGAGACGGTCGGTTTCATCTAATTTAGGTCTCGGCTCAACTGTCGTCTTATCCGTGCGAATCCTTTCTTGCCCATTCTGTATAAGACAATTCACACCCCCTCTCCCGCCATCCTGCACCCTTGCCCTGCTTTATTTTAATTCATAGCACTTTTCACTACTTGACATGTGCATTCATTCATTCATTCATTTTCAAAGCTCTAACCCTGACTAGAAAGTTAGCTCCAATGGAAAAGATTTATTTGTTCTGTGCTGTGTGCTCAGCACCTGGAACTGGGCACACAGTAGGTGCTTTTTCTCTCTCCATTGAGGTATAATTTACATGACAATTAAATTCACTAATTTTAAGTGTACAGTTTTATGAGTTTTAACAAATGTATATAATCAGGTAATCACCACCGCATGATTTAGGACATTTCTATCAACACACCCAAATCATGCTTTTGATGCTATTATTATTTTTTAATTTTCAATTGTTCATTGCTTATATATGGAAATACAGTTGATTTTTATATACTGTCATTGTATCCTTTGACCATGCTAAATTTTCCTATTAGTTCCAGCAGATACTTCTGAGATTATTCGGGATCTTCTACACAAGCAATGTCAGTGTGCCCCTTTTTGAGGTGACATTAACTTCGTCAATTTTGATCGCTTGGTTAAGGTGGTGTTTGCCAGATTATTTATTATCAGTTTGAACTACTGAATTTTTATTTTATTTTATTCAGAATTTTAATTTTATTTTTTATTAACCAGTAGGTTATTACCAGTGTGAATTCATGAATTTTTTATTTTATTCATTTATTTTATTTATATTTTATTTTATGTAATACTTTTATTACATTACCCTTTTTTCTATTTCAAATGGAAACATATAAACATACATTTATAAATGTAAATGTACATTTCAATGGGTCACCTAGGAGCCACCTCTAACCTTGTGATGTAGCGATTCTTGCTTCTCACAGAACGTGAGTTCCTTCTCATGGCACCTCCCCTTAGATTTGGGGGAAAAGATCTGTGTAAACTTAGGAAATGAGTACAAATCAGTTACACTCTGCATCTTCCTTGCTCCTCTATGAGGCTGTGAAGTCTGAGAGGTGGTGCTGCCCCCTGGTGGATTTGCGGGGATAAGAAATAAGAGGGTGGGTGGGTGGGGCTCGTCTCACTCGGTGTCCAGGTTCACCGATGCCATCATGATTTGTCTTATAAAGCCTGAAGGACCGGGAGTGAAAGGTGACCAGCCCGCAACGTGGGCGCCCACCGCTTGTCCCTCACCCTTCCCAACATCACCTCCGAATAACATACAGTCGTCCCCCCTCATTCGAGGTTTTGCATGCCTTGCTTTCAGTTACCCTCAGTCAACAAAGGTCCGAAAATATTAAAATAGAAAATTCCAGAAATGAACAATTCGTAGGTTTTTTTTGGCTTGCGTCAGGTCTTCGTTGCTGCACGCGGGCGAGCGGGGGCTACTCCTCGTTGCGGTGCGTGGGCTTCTCATTGCGGTGCCTTCTGTTGTTGCGGAGCACGGGCTCTAGGCACGCGGGCTTCAGTAGTTGTGGCTCGCGGGCTCTAGAGCGCAGGCTCAGTAGTTGTGGCGCACGGGCTTAGTTGCTGCATGGCATGTGGGATCTTCCTGGACCAGGGCTCGAACCCGTGTCCCCTGCATTGGCAGGCGGATTCTTAACCACTGCACCACCAGGGAAGCCCCCCTGTATCTTTTGAGTCCATGAAATGTGGCCAGTGCAACAGAGGAACTGAATTTTACATTTTAATTAACTTACATTTAAATAGGCACATGGGGTCTCCCATGTGGGACAGTACAGACCTAGGACATTAAGAAGCTAAACAAATGGAAAATATTAGGTTAGCTTTGAGCGGGAGAAATTTCAGCGTGTGCTGTATCGTGCACTACACCCTACACTTCAGGTCACATTTCCTCCTGGGATGTTTGTTTGCAGTTACTCAATATTCACCTGGAGTGCCCTCTGCTGTCTCTAGGATGACTGTGTTTTGAAACGTGGTCAATGTGAGCAATTTCGGATGAACATCAGTTCTATAAACTCTGAAAACTAGCCCAGACCTAACCATCGTTATCAGACAGTGCTGTATTTACGTCTGATCCTTTAGAGGTTATTCAAGCAGAAATTCTGCTGGAGGTGAGTTAGAAATTAGGAGACAATTATGAAATTTTATCATGGTAGTGAAAGGAACACAGACCTTTCTGGACTCTTGATTCGCCATTGTTTCTGCTAAACCTCTTCTTGGTAGAGATTATGCCTTTAGGCCTTGCTAAGAGCTGGTGTCTGACATTAACACTTATATTCTGTCTTAGAGGGAAAATAGCTGGGAGAACCAGGACTAGATTTGCACGGGTCTGAGGCAGATGTGGGCAAAATGGCAGGTGGCCTTTAACATGGGTTCCAGGAGTTCAAGTCCAATCCAGGAAGCAGGGAAACCTAATGAAGAATCTTAAGAAGAGGATTAGAACCTCTGTTTGGTTGGTGGGCATAACGATTTTATGGGTCAGAATCATTTCTCACAGTTGATTCAGGGGCAAGTTAACAAAAAGTGAGAGAGAGAAGCCAGGCTGTATTAGGGAATCCTTAGGGAATACGGTACTATTAAATTTAAAAAACATTTGGCATAGTTAACAAGTTTATTGGGTAGAAAAAAACGATGCAGTCCAAGTTTGTGGAGGAAAATCATTTGCTTATTCTGTAGGCCACATGAGTCACTAAGTAAAAATCTGAGCATCAAAGTTTTGTTACCCTCCATCTAGGAGACGTGGGGAACAATTAGAAAATGTGAATAATAAGGATGAAGCAATTCATGTGGGCTTAGATCGCCCATAAATACTTTAGAGAAAAGCACAGGCCACACTGTTTGCCTTCAACTCAAAAGGCCAGAGGAATGAATTCAACGTAGGCGTGCTTTATTAGAGCAAGAGGAATTAGCAGCTTTGCTTCTGTGGAGATCAAGAGACATTCCAGGTCACAGGCTTGGTGCCTGATCAAGTTTCTAACCTGGGCCATCATGATATGGTTATGGTGTTGTTTTAATTAGAGGTTTGTAAGGCAGAACAAATATGTCGAAGGCTACTTAATTCACTTCAACGAACAGGTAGTAATTCTTTACATGCACAGGGCACCTGCAAGGTGCTGGGGCTAGTGTAGATCAGGTGGACCCACAAAATACAAACAGGGTGCCCAGTGCCACGGCTGGGAGACTGGGCACTGCTGGGAAACGAGGAAGAAGAGGCAGCGGGGGGACCTGCCCAAGAGCCACCTTCTGCCTGCCTGGCCTAGGTGTGATGCTGTCACTTTACTCGGATGCTGTCACTTTACTCGGAATGGCGGCTCTCTCCCCAGGTCTGAAGGTTGATCCGGACTGATCTAACCTGGCACTGTGACCCCACTTCCCTTGGTAGGGTTTATGCATGAGCAATGCCATCCTGGCCACTAGGCTATGAGGCAGGTTTCGAGGAGCGGGTTCTATGCTCTTAAAGAGGCAAAGCGGGTAGTCCAGTCTGTACACGTACCTGGACCTGGGGAAGCCGTCTCGGGGCCCTGAGGTCATCTTGCCTGAACCTGAGCCAATATTCGGCAGAGGCGGGGGGAGTGATGGAGAGAGCCTGGGTCCCAGCGATGCTGAGTTGGGCAACACTGGGCTCCCCAACATCTGAGGTACTAGGGCTTTTATCTGTTTTTTTCTTGAGGGGGTAGGGAACCTAACACCATGTTACTGCTGAAGAAAATGAGACCCAGACAGCAGAGCTGGCGTCTGGGTGTGATCTACCCTACCCCACACTGGTTAACTTATACCTCTAGCCTTTCTGAGGCTCACGTTTCTCAGCCAAATCATAAAATATAGATTAATTCGTGAGAAAAAGTAGGTCTTAGATGCTGCACCAGGGGGTCATTATCACAGGTGGAGTTTTCTTTCTTTGGGTTGACTTCACTTTTGTACTGTGTCAAACAGCCAACAGACAAGATTCAAAGGGCAAGTATTTTGTTTGATCTCTAAGCAGCCTGTTCTCCAGTGTTGGAGGGACACTGAGAAGAGGCCCGGAGATAGTCAGGCTGGCAGAGGTGAGGGGCAGAGCACTACCATCAACCACAGCCCTGCTGGTGTCGACGCAAATAATCAGTAAACAATCTACAAGAAGAATAGAAGAGTTTTATTTGAGCCAAACTGAGAGCTAGCCCAGAAGCCCTCTTCCCAGATAACTCTGAGAAACTGCTCCAGAGAAGCACGGTTGCCAGCACAGTTTTATATCTTGTCAGAGCAAAGCACCTTAAACAAGTCCAGGATACATTTCAAGGAAAAACACACACAGATCAGCATGTACACAGCGAGTCAGCGTGGCCCTAGACCAGGGAAGGGAGTCTTATCATCAGAGGACGACCAGCACTGACATCTCAGGATGGGAGGCAGTTAAGCTTTATTTTTCTTCCTTTTTTTCGGCGGTACGCGGGCCTCTCACCGTTGTGGCCTCTCCCGCTGCGGAGCACAGGCTCCGGACGCGCAGGCTCAGCGGCCATGGCTCACGGGCCCAGCCGCGCCGCGGCAAGTGGGATCTTCCCGGACCGGGGCACGAACCTGCGTCCCCTGCATCGGCAGGCGGGCTCTCAACCGCTGCGCCACCACGGAAGCCCGGGATTTTTTTAACATGGACATTTTTTACTTCCGGTCAATGTGCCCTTTTCTTTACCAATTAAAGCGGATGTACAACGTGTGTCTGA